GGTCACGACTGGCTGCGGCTCTTTGAAGATACAGGAATCTTGCTCCTAACCGTGTGGAAAACTGGAGCCCCCTTAAGTTCGAGCCAGTCGCTTGAACTTGAGAAAAGCGTTCTGTCCCAAACTATCCAGCTTCGCATTCAATCCAAATACATGTCCAAACCCCTTCGCTTCAGGCTTGTGGAACAAGATTTTGGGTGCAGGATTCTTGGCCCAATCGCATGATCCGTGCCGGGGGAATATCTGATCTGCTTTAGGTTCGAGCCAATATATTCCAGCCGCTTGAGCTTCAGAGAACACTCTATCCGAATCTGTCGGGTCTCATATTTTGTCCGAGTACATGCCCCAGCCTTGACTTCAGATTGCTCGAACAAGATATTGGGTGCAGGAATTTTGGACCAAATCGCATGATTCGCGCCGGGGGAATATCTGCTTTAGGTTCGAGCCAATATTTTTCAGCCGCTTGGAACTTCAGGAAAGCATTCTGTCCGAATCTATCGAGCCCCAGATTCGGCCAAAATACATGTCCAAACCGCTTTGCTTCAGGCCTGTGGAACAAGATTTTGGGTGCAGGATTCTTGGCCCAATCGTATGATCCGCGCCGGGGGAATATCTGCTTCAGGTTCGAGCCAACATATCCCACCCGCTTGGACTTCAGGAAAGCATTCTGTCCGCATCCATCGAGCCCCAGATTCGGTCCAAATACATGTCTAAACCCCTTTGCTTCAGGCTTGTGGAACAAGATTATTGGTGCAGGATTCTTGGCCCAATCGTATGATCCGCGCAGGGGAAAATCTGCTTTAGGTTCGAGCCAACATATTCCAGTCACTTGAACTTCAGAGAAGCCTTCTGTCCGCATCTATCGAGCCCCAGATTCGGTCCAAATACATGTCCAAACCCCTTTGCTTCAGGCTTGTGGAACAAGATTATTGGTGCAGGATTCTTGGCCCAGTCGTATGATCCGCGCAGGGGGAAAATCTGCTTTAGGTTCGAGCCAACATATTCCAGTCACTTGAACTTCAGAGAAGCCTTCTGTCCGAATCTATCCAGCTTCACGTTTTGTCCGACTATATGCCCAAGCTGTTTTGCTTCAGGCTTGTGGAACAAGATTTTTGGGTGCAGGAATCTTGGCCCAATCGCATGATTCGCGCTGGGGGGATATTGCTTAGGTTCGAGCCAACATATTCCAGTCGCTTGAACTTCAGAGAAGCCTTCTGTCCGAATCTATCCAACTTCCCATTTTGTCCGAATACATGCCCAAGCTCTTTTGCTTCAGGTTTGTCGAAACAAGATTTTGGGTGCAGGATTCTTGGCCCAATCGCATGATCCGCGCCGGGGGAATATCTGCTTTAGGTGTTCCAGTCGCTTGAAGTTCAGGAAAGCATTCTGTCCGAATCCATCGAGAAACAGAATTTCAGTCCAAATTCATGTCCAAACCCGTTTGCTTCAGATTTATCGGAACAAGATTTTGAGTGCAGGATTCTTGGCCCAATCGTATGATCCGCGCCGGGGGAATATCTGCTTGAGGATTAGCGCTAAACCCTATTCCTAAACACTAAAGCTTTAGGATTTAACGCTAAACCCTATTCCTAAACACTAAAGCTTTAGGATTTAGCGCTAAACCCTATTCCTAAACACTAAAGCTTTAGATTTAGCGCTAAACCCTATTCCTAAACACTAAAGCTTTAGGATTTAGCGCTAAACCCTATTCCTAAACACTAAAGCTTTAGGATTTAGCGCAATTCTTTAGGATTTAGGCACCAGAATGGGCGGAACCCCAAGATCGGCCCCTGCCCTAATTAAAATGCACATTTTATGAACAGAATATATTACTCCAAAATCTGCCTCCGATTTCCAGAAATCAGGCGCCAAACCCTATTCCTAAACACTAAAGCTTTAGGATTTAGCGCTAAACCCTATTCCTAAACACTAAAGCTTTAGGATTTAGCCCTAAACCCTATTCCTAAACACTAAAGCTTTAAGATTTAGCGCTAAACCCTATTCCTAAACACTAAAGCTTTAGGATTTAGCGCTAAACCCTATTCCTAAACACTAAAGCTTTAGGATTTAGCGCTAAACCCTATTCCTAAACACTAAAGCTTTAGGATTTAGCGCTAAACCCTATTCCTAAACACTAAAGCTTTAGGATTTAGCGCAATTCTTTAGGATTTAGGCACCAGAATGGGCGGAACCCCAAGATCGGCCCTTGCCCTAATTAAAATGCACATTTTATGAACAGAATTTATCACTCCAAAATCTGCCTCCGATTTTCCAGAAATCAGCCGCCAAACCCTATTCCTAAACACTAAAGCTTTAGGATTTAGCGCTAAACCCTATTCCTAAACACTAAAGCTTTAGGATTTAGCGCTAAACCTTATTCCTAAACACTAAAGCTTTAGGATTTAGCGCTAAACCCTATTCCTAAACACTAAAGCTTTAGGATTTAGCGCTAAACCCTATTCCTAAACACTAAAGCTTTAGGATTTAGCGCTAAACCCTATCCTAAACACTAAAGCTTTAGGATTTAAAATTCCTAAACACTAAAGCTTTAGGATTTAGCGCTAAACCCTATTCCTAAACACTAAAGCTTTAGGATTTAGCGCTAAACCCTATTCCTAAACACTAAAGCTTTAGGATTTAGCGCTAAACCCTATTCCTAAACACTAAAGCTTTAGGATTTAGCGCTAAACCCTATTCCTAAACACTAAAGCTTTAGGATTTAGCGCTAAACCCTATTCCTAAACACTAAAGCTTTAGGATTTAGCGCTAAACCCTATTCCTAAACACTAAAGCTTTAGGATTTAGCGCTAAACCCTATTCCTAAACACTAAAGCTTTAGGATTTAGCGCTAAACCCTATTCCTAAACACTAAAGCTTTAGGATTTAGCGCTAAACCCTATTCCTAAACACTAAAGCTTTAGGATTTAGCGCTAAACCCTATTCCTAAACACTAAAGCTTTAGGATTTAGCGCTAAACCCTATTCCTAAACACTAAAGCTTTAGGATTTAGCGCTAAACCCTATTCCTAAACACTAAAGCTTTAGGATTTAGCGCTAAACCCTATTCCTAAACACTAAAGCTTTAGGATTTAGCGCAATTCTTTAGGATTTAGGCACCAGAATGGGCGGAACCCCAAGATCGGCCCCTGCCCTAATTAAAATGCACATTTTATGAACAGAATTTATCACTCCAAAATTTGCCTCCGATTTTCCAGAAATCAGCCGCCAAACCCTATTCCTAAACACTAAAGCTTTAGGATTTAGCGCTAAACCCTATTCCTAAACACTAAAGCTTTAGGATTTAGCGCTAAACCCTATTCCTAAACACTAAAGCTTTAGGATTTAGCGCTAAACCCTATTCCTAAACACTAAAGCTTAGGATTTAGCGCTAAACCCTATTCCTAAACACTAAAGCTTTAGGATTTAGCGCTAAACCCTATTCCTAAACACTAAAGCTTTAGGATTTAGCGCTAAACCCTATTCCTAAACACTAAAGCTTTAGGATTTAGCGCTAAACCCTATTCCTAAACACTAAAGCTTTAGGATTTAGCGCTAAACCCTATTCCTAAACACTAAAGCTTTAGGATTTAGCGCAATTCTTTAGGATTTAGGCACCAGAATGGGCGGAACCCCAAGATCGGCCCCTGCCCTAATTAAAATGCACATTTTATGAACAGAATTTATCACTCCAAAATCTGCCTCCGATTTTCCAGAAATCAGCCGCCAAACCCTATTCCTAAACACTAAAGCTTTAGGATTTAGCGCTAAACCCTATTCCTAAACACTAAAGCTTTAGGATTTAGCGCTAAACCCTATTCCTAAACACTAAAGCTTTAGGATTTAGCGCTAAACCCTATTCCTAAACACTAAAGCTTTAGGATTTAAACCCTATTCCTAAACACTAAAGCTTTAGGATTTAGCGCTAAACCCTATTCCTAAACACTAAAGCTTTAGGATTTAGCGCTAAACCCTATTCCTAAACACTAAAGCTTTAGGATTTAGCGCTAAACCCTATTCCTAAACACTAAAGCTTTAGGATTTAGCGCTAAACCCTATTCCTAAACACTAAAGCTTTAGGATTTAGCGCTAAACCCTATTCCTAAACACTAAAGCTTTAGGATTTAGCGCTAAACCCTATTCCTAAACACTAAAGCTTTAGGATTTAGCGCTAAACCCTATTCCTAAACACTAAAGCTTTAGGATTTAGCGCTAAACCCTATTCCTAAACACTAAAGCTTTAGGATTTAGCGCAATTCTTTAGGATTTAGGTACCAGAATGGGCGGAACCCCAAGATCGGCCCCTGCCCTAATTAAATGCACATTTTATGAACAGAATTTATCACTCCAAAATCTGCCTCCGATTTTCCAGAAATCAGCCGCCAAGCCCTATTCCTAAACACTAAAGCTTTAGGATTTAGCGCTAAACCCTATTCCTAAACACTAAAGCTTTAGGATTTAGCGCTAAACCCTATTCCTAAACACTAAAGCTTTAGGATTTAGCGCTAACCCTATTCCTAAACACTAAAGCTTTAGGATTTAGCGCTATACCCTATTCCTAAACACTAACCCTAAGGATCCGAGGCCTCTAATGTTAAGGGATTCATTGTTCCAGTGGCTGGGGCGGCCTTGGCTCGAGGCCTCCGCTCAGAAGGACTTGGGTTGCACATGGGTCGCATATATATGTATATACTAGATCAGTATATATATTCTATATATATATATATATACTGCTATATATATATATATATATATATATACTATATATATATATACTATATATATATATATATATACTGTATATATATATATATATATATATATATATATATATATATATATATATATATACGATATATATACTATATGTACATATATACTATAAATATACTATATATATATATATATATATGTATGTATACAGCACTGCTGCAGACAGGGCATCGAAGGGAAGCTACATAGAATACAATGGTACTTGCGAAGCTTCCAGCGAATCCGAACCCTCCGTCAATCGAGCAATTCGCCACTGAATCCCCGAAGCCTAAACCCAAGATTGGTTTCCGAGTCATTTTCCGGCCCTGCGATCAGCGTCTGGTCTTCGGCTTCTTTCCACCAGCCAGGGCTCGGGTGTACCAGCAAACCAAAACAGATCTCTCCAGAGTCTGCTGATGCGAAGCTCGTGCCAGTCCTTGGATAGCCGATCGCAGGCTTCGGGTTTGGTGGGGCAGGCCAAATGGGGATCCCACAAATAAAACCAGCTATGAACTGATGTGATGTCGATGATGCCGGGTCGCTTTTCGCCAGCTGCATGGCCGCCTCTCCTCTGAAGCAGTGTGTCTTCCGGGGGTTGTGAAGATATTTCTTGGTGTCGACCATAATGTGGTGGAAGACATGGTGTTTCGGTCGCAGTTGCCAAGCCAAACGGCGGTCTCGAATGGCGAGGCGAGCGAGCTTCACATATGCATCCAGATGCTTCGCCCCCGTGTCGTGAATTGCTTGAGCCTCCTGAGTCCCACAACATTCCCAGAAACCCTGAGCCCCCTATTTTAGGAGTTCTAACAGGGTCCAATGTGTGCAAGCGGCCGAATCGGAGAGGTAGCGACCAGCTGTCTCCAATTTGCAATACCAGTCATGCAAATGGAAGAGTGCTGCAGCGGTCAGGTGGAGTCGCTGGGTGTTTTTGCTAGCAGCAGCAACACCTGTTTCGTGGGCAAGCCAGCTCGTCACCACACGACCATTGAATGCCTTTCAGGCAATAAGCAGCCCAAAATCAAGTGGACAACCCACACCCTTGATTAATGTGGTTCCGATTAATTCGACGACTAGAGAAAAAATCATAACCCGAAACATCTGACAGGATAGCAGCCTTCGTCTGGAAGAAACAGAACTCCTCGCCTTTCGTAACGAGCATCCATGGTTTAAAGGCACTTTGTGAGCACTGGACAGCATTTCTTTTGCACCATAGCTTGAATGATGCAAAAGCAGAAGCAAAGCGAGCATGGTCGGTTGCTCCCTGAAAATGATGTTCATGTAGAAGCTCATGCATAGCACCACCATTGGCGTGAAGGCCAATTCCAAGGTTAATCACGTGCATCCCGCACCACTGCAACATGCGATAGTCAAATCCGATACAGTATACCAAAGAATTAAAAGGCCTTGTCTGCGGCAGCTGCTGCAAAACAAATTCTTGGTGGCTTCTCACAGTAGGAAGCCATGCTGGGGTCGCACTGAAATCTGTAAAGAGCGGCGGATTGCATTTGGATGCTGCACAACAATGGCACACACTGTCGGCCATCCAGTTAGACTGCAAGCCGAAGCACTGAAAATGCCATTTCCAGTCTCCCCTGAATTCCCATAGCCGGCAGCGGAAGCCCAAATCATCGCCTGGAGCAGCTGATGGACTGAACCACGGCCTCCCATCAAAGCCTTGGGCCGGAGTCTTGCCAAGATAGCCTGGGTGCTTCTAGATGTCATGTAATCGATAGTGGGTTGCTACATCGACGGTATTTTTTCGAAGACGGCTTCAAAGTTGTAGGGCTTCGGGTTTATTAGTTTCATGGGCTCAGGATTACGGGGTTCAGCAGCGGTCTGGGTTTGGGGTATATATGCAACATCTGCTAAAAGTAGTCCGCCCAAACTGCCATCAAGCAGCAGCAGTTCAAAGACCAAGATAAGAAGGCCCAGACGGGCTGTAGGCAATCCATGTTCTCCATACGGTCAGTCCGTAAAGCAAAGAGCGGGTAGCGAGTGCCCCAAACAGAAATTGTGACATCATCATACAGAGGAAAACCTGAGATCAGATTAAGTTATCAACCCTATTGACCTATTGCCGAAGCCCTCCAATTGCCGACTCGGGCCTCAGTCCTCGAAACCTCGAGCCTTGAAACCAAAAGCCAAAACCCTATCCTTTGCAAACTCGTAAAGGAAAAGCGCCCTAAGCGACCCAATTTAGCCAGGGACATCAGACAAGTTAAAATATAAAGATACTAAGTATTATTATATAGTTCCGAGAAGTCACTAAGATATATAACCAAGATCTTCTGCTTTGTCTGAGTATACTCGGCCTCATCGCCGTAAATGCACATTGGGTGCACAGTGAAGCCGTCCTTGAAGTTCCGGCACTTCGAAACACCCCCACTCGCAACGGCAGAATGATGCTGCCAGAACTTTGTTGCAGCATTGTCGTCCAGTACCAACAGTTGGTTTTTCAGGAGCCAGGGCACCAGCTCGTGAGGAGCAATGATTGGCACGGCAGTAGGAACATATTGGTCGCCAGCTTTGTTTTTCAAGTCGATCTTCAGTCGGTGCAGGTGAGGTACCTTCATCAAGGGTCGGTGTATTGGGTTCTGGAGGCTTAGGCCGTTCTTTAAAGCCTGAGGCCAGAGGCATTGCAATAACTTCTACACCATGAGTTTTAGCAACCGTGGCCTCTGCATTCAATATAGATTCTGAGCTTCTTTGCATATCTCGCTTCACATTGCTTTGAAACCTGCCACTCGCACCAGTCTTTGCTAGCCTCTGCACTGCAGCCGGTGTTTTGTGCCCCAAGTCCTGGGCCATTCAGCTCTACAGCCCTGGTTTATGAGTCGAGGGTGATTACAATTAACGATTCAGTTGAGGGGTGGGTCTGTTCGATATAGGGCCCGAGGTTGGCATGTGTATTGGTCACTGTTTTGTTTTTACTATGACAATCAAGTGGGCTTGTGGGTTCAGGGTTTAGATATGGTGCATAGATCTGAAGTCGTATTTGGATTGAAATGATTTCTGAAAGCCTCGGCTGTTCCTTCCAACCTCGATCCTCAAACCCTAAACCAAAAACCTTAAAACCGACCTTGCCACCAAGCGTCTTCCACCACACATTGTGCAACATCTTGAGCAGCTGAGGAACTCCACTCCTGGCTGCAGCGAGGTGGTCTACTCCATGTTGTTCCTTGCCTGGTTTGAGGCTACCTGTGTTTATTTCAGCTAGGCTAATGAAGCCAAGGATCGGCAGCCCCGACTCCAGCAAGAAGTCGCCTAGCCAATGTAGACGTCGTATCATCATCATCTGCGTGGGATTTGGCTAGGGTAGTTTAGCCGAGGGACCACACAAGTATGGTAACAGTGAGAGTGTTTAGGGTTTAGTGTCAGGAGGTTGGGCGGTTACGGATTTGGGTGGGCTAGTCATGATTAGTCGAGCTACCAGACAAAGTAACACTTATAGGGTCTTGGGTTTTGGGTTGGGGGCTTAGGGTCAGGAGGTTTGGCGCTTGTAGAGGCCTTGGCTCGGGGTGGGGATGCAGGCGAAATGTTTTTTCTTCCCGGCTCCGGCTGCTGTTCTCCCAGGCGGCTTTCATGTGTGCAGGAGCAAAATTGCACCGGATCATAAAACTGCTGTGCGAGGAAATCCTACTTCTTGGGCTTCCCAGCTTTTTTGGCTTTGGGCTGCTTGGGTTTATTCAGGCTCATTGCCCTCTTCAAGGGTGCCACACCATCGTCGTAGCCTTTAAAGGCTGCGGAAACTCGAGCATTGAACGGCCCCAGCTGGTCATCTGGAACTTTTCCCATTTTGCTTTGCAGCTCGCCGAGAGCCTCCTTAAGGTTCTTGATCGGGTCATCCATATCCTTCACCATCGCCTGGGCATAGGTCGCTGTCCTGGGATCTCGAGGGTAGCAAGGCTCCAGGGATTATAACAAATCAGGGTTCAAGGACAGTCGACGGGTTTTCCGGGTTTAGGATTTTAAACTAAGTAAGGAGTACTATAGCTATACAAAGGCATCATATATATATATAATCTTATTAAACCCTGAACCCAAATAAGGTTGGCTACAATGCGGATTGTCGAGCTGCACATTGTTCTGGATGAGCTGCTGCAGCAGCGTGTCGGCATCCACGAGCTTCAAAGCACCCTTTGAAACATGATCGCGGGCTTCGTTGGCGGCAGACTTTGCAGCCTTCTTCTTGGGCTTGGGGTTTTTGGGGTCCGGCTTCGGATTATCGCCCTCGTTGCCGCCACTGCCACCGTTGCCATTCCCACGACCACCAGTGCCCAGCACGGCACTCCTTATTGCAAATTATAACGATTCACCACACCACCTAATTTATTTGCATTATAAATACTATATGCAAACAAGAAACCCCACGGTGCCGGCAGCGGCTCCGGTAAAGGAGGCTCCCTGCTCGAAGATCCTCTCCTCCTCGGAATCCGACTCCTCCGTCTCGGCCTTGCCGTCAAACACACGAAACATCTGCCAGTCTTGGGAAGCATCCGTGATCGTGATGTAGGAACCAGGTTGCGGGAATTAGGGCCGAGGGCTTCTTATTAGGGTTCCGGCCACGTATAATGGCTTAGGGTCGAGATAGGACGTATTTATTTTTACGGTTTAGGCTCGAGGGTTTGGGGTTCCGGGCACTTATACCATTTATAGGGGCTGAGGGTCGGTGTAATTAGGGCTTAGGTAATTATTCTTTTGGCCGTATGAAAGCTGTCGTGCCATAAGTTGGATAACATCCCCAAAATGGCCCCTGTCCTCCCGTTCTGGAAGGTCGGGGTGTTTCATATAGTGTTTCCCCGTGCACTGGGGATCCAACTCCATCTTGTGGAGCTTAATGGCGGCCGCCACTCCTTCTCCCTGCCTGGTGGGGATATATACTTAATTTGTTTGTAGCAGGAAACAAATTAAGTTATCGTCGGGAGTATAAAGTATCTAACAAAATGACAATTATTGCCATGTGAGCCAAGCACTCTGTGGCAAGATCGCAATACCGCTTCCAGACAAACTTGCCTCTGCGGCGTTTTGCAGTCTTGCTGCGTGAGTTGATGACGATCGAAGACTGAAGCCAGTCTTCACCGGCACTGACGAAAACTTCAAACAGGTGACGGAGAACTTTGCGTCCTCCTAAGTCGGACACTGTTTCGAAGAGTAGACTCTATATGTATACATATGCACACAACCGTTCTCGATAATGGGCAAGGGACGGGTCTTGTTGCTGCCCGGATGGAATGCCTTCGCCACCACTTCCGGAGGACACTCTGGGTGTCCTTAGATTGACCGCTGAGGGGTGCTTGGGGTGTGTAGGGAATATAGGGTTGTTCAAGGTTATTAGCTAGTGTTCAACTTAAGGTTTGTAGGGATAGAGTTGTTCAAGGTTTCTGGTCAAGGCTTCTCGGGATAGGGAGTAGGGCGGTTCAAGGTTTGGAGGCAGTTCCCAGGGCAGTGTATATTCAAGACCATAAAAAATCCGGTGTTGATGAAGGCCTTGGGCACTTATGGCTTGAAGCATCAGCCTGGGTTTTGAAGCCAGAACCTAATAAGAGGAACTCCATTGGACTTGAAGCATCCCGAATGAAACTCGAACCCCCAGTTACTGCACTGCCCCCACAACCCAGGCTGTGAGCTCTCTGCGTGTCACTGCTCCGTTTCTCGGCAAACACAAGGTAGAAAATAACAATTACGATATATGTAGCTCGCTATACAGACAGCAGTAGTCCTATAATCCCGAATATAGAACCGATACTTGTGGGGTTCACTGGGCTTGGGGCTCGGATCAGGGCTGTTGTCAGCAGGTTCCCAGGACGATGGCGTAGAGGAAAGCTTGGGTGTGCAGGTACTTCGCAGGGCTTGGAGGTTTTAGGGTTTCAGGATATAGCCTGGCCAAGTATCAAACTAGGACATGTTTTGTGAATGCGGCAAGAATACTTAGGGCGGTTTTTAGGGTGGCGTAGATGAAATGCTTGGGTGTCGGCGTAGATCGCAGGGTTTCGGGGGTTTAGGGTTTCCTGAATAATTATAGCCAGGCCATTGTAACATACCCAAATTGATATAATGTGTAGTTAAACATGGAGGCGAGATATGGGCTGGATATTCATGAGGGTTGATTTGTTTGGTAAGGTCACAACAATTAAACTGAGTCCAAATCCCAAAGCCCATACCCTAGCCCGTATATATACACACATATGTATACATACATATATATATATATATATATATATTTATAATTGTATATATATATATATAGACATCTATACATGTATGCAAGAAAGCAAAACCCAACCCGAACTCCCAAAACACTCCAACCCTAAGCTGTAATCATAATATGTAGCAGTAGCAGCATTAATTATCACGAGCAGAAGCAGCAGGAATTAGCAGTTGTTGTAGTGGTTCTATTGCAAATGGTAAATTTTCTGGTGCCCAGAGTCGCAGACTTCGGCTGTACCGCATCCAATCAGCATGGGCTTGCTTCCTTAGTCGCTCCTTTTCCTCCCTCAACAATCTCTCCTCCTCGGTTTCCTCCTCCTCCTCTTGGGTCGGTGGCGGCGGGGGATTGGCCTGAACATTGGTTGTGGCAGGAGCCGGGGCAGCCTTCGGATCGAGTGCAGCAGGAGCTGGGGCGGGTGCCTTCGCCGTTTCGGGTGCAGCAGGAGCTGGGGCGGGTGCCTTCGCCGTTTCGGGTGCAGCAGGAGCTGCGGGGACTGTCTTCGCCGTTTCGGGTGCAGCAGGAGCTGCGGGGACTGCCTTCGGCTCGGGTGCAGCAGCACTCGAGAGGGTGACTGCCTCGGTGGCAGGAGGTGGCACAGAAGTGGGTGCAGCAGCAGCTGGGACGGCTTGGCCTGTCGCCTTCGGATCGGGTGCACCAGGAGCTTCGGGGGCGGCTGCAGCCTTTGCGAGAGCTGAGGTGGGGTCCTCGCTGGACCCAAACTTCGCAAGAAGCATCTTGAGCATCATCTGAGTGTCATCAAGCTGTCGCTGCAAGTGGGCGACACGATCGTCTTCAGCCGTACGGGTGTTCACATCCACTTGCATGGGTGCTGGCGGCGGCGGCACGACTAGGGGGCCCTTGGGCTGTGGCGGCACAGGTGCCGGGGCTTTGGTGGGACTCGGCGGACAAACTTCCATGTGCGAAGCCTTGACAGCAGGGGTCGGCTGTGGCGGGGCTTTGGCAGGACTCGGAGGGCAAACTTCCATCGGTGAAGCCTTGGCAGTGGAGATCTGATCAGGCTGCGGGCTGGGCGGCTTGGCGGGACTCGGAGGGGAAACTTCCATCGGCGAAGTCTTGGCAGCGGGCATCTGATCAGGCTGTGGGCTGGCATTCGTGGCCGGTGACACAAGTGCCGGGGCTTTGGCAGGACTCGGAGGGGAAACTTCCATCGGCGAAGCTGCGGCAGCGGAGGCTTTGGGCTGTGGCGGCGGAACAAGCTCTGAGCTGACTGTCATGGTCGGTGGCACAGGTGCCGGGGCTTTGGCGGGACTCGGATGGGAAACTTCCATCGGCGAAGCTTGAGGGGGTGTTGCAGGCGAGACTTCCATAGCAGCTGCAGGGGGCGGGGCGTGGACCTGGGAGTCATCTTCATCATCATCATCATCTTCTTCTTCCCCCTCCTCATACAGCTGCTGCTCCAGCTCATTCATCACTCTGTCCTCAAAATCGACATCAACCTGATACGGGATTAAGACATTGTCGTAGTATACAGCAGACTACGAATAAGACTTTAAAAAACTAAACTATAAAGCAAAGACTGACAATAACACGAAATGTGTGTGTATATATATATATATATGTGTATCTAGCTATATGTATATATACATTAGCGATACATGCATTTAAAGTATAAACCTATATAAACCTATATATATATATATATAAATTATATTATATTACATTATGTTATATTATCTTTGCCGTGTCCTTGAAAGGGGTTGCTTCAGGAATATGAATATGAGTATTATATAATATAAGTAATGTAATATAATTATATTACATTATATTATAATAGTTGTCATATTCATATTCCTCAAGCAACCCCTTTCAAGCACACGGCAAAGAAGCCCGTTTCTGCTGTTTACAGAAGATACATAATTTGGGAACTAGTTATATAGTTATTACGAGGAAAGGGATTCAGGGTATAGGGGGTGTCCGTTTAGACGTACAGAAGGTGCTAGCAGGAACAGTTATTGGGATTATCCTATAGGAGCCCACCCCTTACAACACCCGGCCAGCACCTGTGTCTCCATCTGGGAGACATCAAGACCTGTCGTCGACTGCGGCTCCGCTTGGCCCGTGGTCACCGTCGGCTCCGCTTCCTTGGGTCTTGGCAATGACTCTACGGTTTAGGGGATGGTTATATAGTATGGTTCATGAGGCAGTCCGTAGGGCTGTATATGCCTACATCGGGCTGGGTACGGATTAGCCTTCAGGCTTCGGATGTGGTTGGATTGCAGGGTTTTGGGTTCCTGTTTCTGAGTAGGGTCAAGCTTTTGCATATGAGTACAATCGGGTTCTGGACAGGGTTCCGGGCATGAGGCTTTCATTAAGGGTAGGGCTAAGGCTTTAGTTTAGCGATGCTGGATGTATACGTATATCTGGGCTGCTAGGGACAAAGCAGGCCGGAGGGTTTAGGGGTCATTGTTCCATTTAATTGTTTGTTGCGAGCATGGGTTGATACAGTACGGTTGCGAGTCGCTAGGTTCAGGGGTCCTGGTTACATTTTGAGGATCAAGTAGGTTTTTTTTTAGCATATAGGGTTTAGGGCATTGGGGTTGCAAGGCTTTTGGTACGAGAGGCCCAGCCGGTCTCTGCGGGGGGTAAACCTCAAAGCAGAAGCCAACAACAATTTATCCCCAAGCCCGAAAGCCTCATTACCCTGTATCCTCCTTGCGAACCTTTGTAATTAAATTATAATAATAACAAAGCTTCGCAAGGAGGATACAGGGTAATGAGGCTTTCGTATAGTTACACTGAAGCAGGACTCTAGGGTCAATGGGGTCGGACTGACTTGTTTTCTACACACAGCATGGCTCTCAGCAATAGCATGTCCACACTGATTAGTATAAAGGGGTCTTTCTCCATCTCGATAAGCCATGGCCCCTCCGGAAGAAGAGGTTTAGGCTTTAGGGTTTAAGAGCCAGGGTCTAGGCTTATGAGAGGGCACACAACCCTCAAAGCAAAACCTGGTCTAGCAGCCTTATTATTTTATTAGATTCCATGAGATCAGAAAAGTACAGCTGTACTTTGGTTTCGGAAATCGGGCCCAAGCTTTACGGTGAAAGTGTAGGGGTTAGACTTTATGGGGTTATAATCATATATAGGAATCTAGCCTTAAGGGCCCAGCAGCCTCGAGGTGAGCACCAAGCTCCAGCGTAGATCCTGCCGGTTTTGGGGCATGGCCCTACAGCTGAAACCCATAAGTCCTAAACCCAAGTCCTAAACCATAGCTAAGCCGACAGGGTGGGGGTTCATACTCTGCTCCTCTGTTCAGATCCAAGGCATCGAGATTGATATCGATGGTGGACTGAGTATCGATGTGTCGCGGCTTGGTGGCAGAGGCAGCATCAGAGCTTGAGAAGCTGGGCAACTTAGGCAGAGAATCCCTCGAAATCAAAGAATCTTTGCTTTCCCGGTAGTCCAGCTTGCTCTTCTTCAGCTCCGGCTCTGGGATCGGGGTGCTAAGCGGAGGCTTCGGAGAGGTCTGAGCCTTCGGCTCCGGAGTCATCACCACAGGAGGCACCGATCCCGATCGCACCGGTGTGGCGATCGGCTTGGATGCAGCCTGCTGCTGCCCTCCATACTTCTTCATGGTCTCGTTCACAAGATCCCTCATCGCTTTCGGCACAGCAGCAGGAGCATCCTTGTCCTTCCTCCCCATTGCAAAAGCCCTAGGAAAAGTGCTCCACAAAATCCAGGCCCAAAAGCTGTGGATGTTGTAGTCAAAGCGACAGCCATGAATCCGAATCAAGCATGCAAGTTGGTGGTAATACCGATTTCACGCAATTTCACGCTATTTCACGGGAGGCCTCCGCTCACGAGGACTTTGTGGGTGCAACTCACGCAAATTCACGCTAATTCACGCTATTCACGGCGACTCCCTTTGTTAGTGCACACAGTAGCACAAAATACAACCCCAACTATAGCCCGAAGCATCTGAAGGCAGCCCTTTTGATATACACCAGTATTAATTATAGCCCCCAGCCCTTGGGTGCAGCCCTACTTAACCTCGCATTACTGCTATGGCTAAGTCCTAAACCCAGATCATCGATGCTCCAAGGCAATCGTCATGCCAGCAGAGGCAGAGACAGGGGTTTAAGGTACAGGATTAGAGTTCGATGTATACTAGAATTAATATTCTACGGGCTGCTCCAAAGTGTGCGGGTTTATTTGTGCGTATAAATATGTACAGATAGATCTAATAACTATTAACATGATTGCAGGGTTATAAATAGAATACCACAACCCCATTCATTACCTGCTTTATATATAGTTATACAATTCAATTTAATTATATTATAACTATATAATAGGTAATGAATGGGGTTGTGGTATTCTATAGGGAATTACAGGGGTTTGGAGTTTCAATTAGCCATTAGCGAGCTTTGTTTTCGGCTCGCCTGCTATGTAGGCTTTCCTTGAGGTTCGGGCGAGTGCTTGGGCTTTATTAAAGCTTTGGGGATTGGGGGTCCCAGACATTTCGGGTTTCCGGGTGCAGAATTCTGGCTTGTCGCCTCTGGGCTATATAGGCCTTCACACAGCACCCTACACATCGCCCCACACCCCAAATTGAGTACATCCCGAGTAGATTCACGTGTCTAGTTCTAATATACTATATTAGTACAATAGAACCCCATAACCCTGGGTCTAACCCCGGAAGCCCGATACCCTAAACACTGCAAGCCTTATTATATAGTAGAACCTAAAGACCGGAACCCTCTTGCCCGAAAGAAGCTATACATAATCCCGGAAGCCCGAAACCCGAAAGCGTGGAACCCCAAACCCCCCGGCCTGAAGCCCTACGAAAACTGCTAGGTTGTGTTTTAGTTTCCTTGAAGCCCGAGAACAGGTTCAAAAGCAAGAAGAGCACGACCCCAAGCCAAGCTTACAACCCTCAAGCCCGACACAACCTGAAGCCCAAAAGATCAGGACCCCTGTCTGAAATGATGCTTTATATCACATACTAAAATTACCCCACAGCCCGAGCTATGTCTAATCCCGGAAGCCCAAAACCCTAAACACTACAACCCTACTAATATCCTGAACACCGAAACAGTGTTGCCCCAAAGAAGCTATATAATCCCGGAAACCCGAAAGCGTGAGATCCAAACCCCTCGGCCTGAAGCTATGCATATATATATATATATATATATACATATATATATATATATATATTCGCATCCAATCGTCCCAACCACACGGTCTAGCTATGTATTTATATAGGTTCTCTATTAGGACAGAACGTATATTCTATATAACTAGGCCGAGATAGAACAAATCCGAAACAGGAAATACTTAAACTATAAACTGAACCTGGGACCCTTAGAAATGTGTATGCCCGTTATTCTGAACAGGTGTCCAACTGATCCAGAGAACTTAGCATAATGTTTTCACCCCAAAATAATTTCAAAACCCGAAACCCTCCATCGAATTCGATGGATGAGGAAGATGTAGTCCAGCATCGCACCTGCGACCAGGCATTGTAGATGGATCTGGCCCTATTATAGGGCCCGATCATTATCGGGTGTAGTATAATTACTTTATTGTTGTAATGATGTTATAGCACAATCGCCAGAGTGTTTCTGTGCGGGGTTTCAGGGCCCATTGCAAGTCGCTGGGGCTTATGGCTTTTCGGGTATTATAGGATTCTTAAAGACAGGGTCCGGGTGTTAGAGCTCGTACAGTATCAGAGGTGTTGGAGAGGGTTTTGCTTGCTGCTTCTGCAACAGCGGGTCAAATTAGGGCTATACGGTCGTGTGGCTTTCTTATAAGGCAAATTCAAGGGTGGCAGTAATTTTATGGAGATTGATTGGGTTGCGAATATGAAGCAGGGTTTGGGGCTTCAGGGTGTCCCGGTTTCCAGTGTTCATGGTTACAAGCAGCAGCAGCAGCAGCAGCAAGCCGCCAGGCGACGGGGCGAGGTGGTGCGAGAAGGCTCGTGTACTGCTACTAGTACGTAGTAAAGGTAGTTTGAAACTAGTCTAGCAAAAAGGTCCGGTCTTTAATATTTATAGGGATCCCCCGACGACCATAGGCTAGGCATAAGCGCTTGTATGCCCAGACCCAATGCAGGCACACTGTTGCCAACTCTGAAACCCCCCTGAACCCTAAACCTAACTACACCCTAAACCCAGACCCCTAGCCAGGCTAAACTATGAAGCAGAAGTTCCCCATGAAACAGTAGGAGCCGCCATCCAGCATTCCAAACTCAACCCTATAAATACACATAGCCCTCACTGGCCATGGACCTACACACCAATCTCCGGCCGAAGCTCTCTCATGATCTTATATTTTTAAAAGTAAACTCCCCCGAACCCTAAGAGCTGAGATAATTGTCGTAGTCCGGAAGCCAGAAATCCTGAAGACTAGAGTCCCTGGGCTTGGCACAGACATACAGACAGCAAGACGAAACGAGATCGAGATCGTGCAGGAGTTCCGTCAAAGCGAGAAATCACCGGCGATCGGAGACACTGCGGGACATGATAGACACTCCATCAATTCCGGCGGGATGCCACCAAAACCGAAGCCGTGTCAGACAGTGCACCATCGAGCCATTGACTCCGAATGCCAAGCAAGTCATGCCCAAGAAGAGCTGGGAGGACAGGTTCTACTGGCTTAAGAAGTCGATTGGCATTGGAAGAAACGAGCTGTGGACGTCGACATGGAGAAGATCTCTTAGCAATATTTAAGCCCCAAGCCCTAAACCCAAGCCGAATCAAAGCTGGAACTGGGGTAGCTAAAACTGTCAAGCCCGAACCCTAAACCCACAATATTGCTGAAGGCCCACAGCCTGGAGATGATCACACAATCCACAATGCTAATATAAATTGTTAGTCCCAGAGCAATTCCTGAACCGAAACCTTGACCCCAAACCCCAGCCCAATCCTCGCCACACAAGGAAAGCCCAACCCAGCACCCTCCCCAACCCTCTGAAACCTGAACAAATGAGAAAATTTCCAGAGAGTGACACACGAAATCCCTAAGCCGTCAACCGGCCGAAAAGCATGACCTCGAAGCGAAACCAAAGGCAATTGAATTCAAAACCTGCCAGAGGCACCTCCGGATGCTCAGCACACGGTGCTCGTGGCCAGTTTTGGCTGGGGGCTTCGGGACTAAGTGCAGGGGCTTATAGTGACGGGGTTTCAGTTAATTGCATAGGAGTTCTTGGAGTTGGATGCTAGGGCATTGGTGCCAGGAGTTGGGTCGTCGTCGGGTTTGATTTATAATTAAATTAGTACAGAATGCCTTATAATCCTCAACCCCTTAAGTTGTAAGCTTCCTGACATTCCCTGAACCCAGGAACACACCAATCCCTCGAGCCTGCAGCCCGAAACCCTGTAGCCAGCCATAGTCGACCCGAGCCACCAATCTGAAAAGCTATCCCGAAGCCCAGCTGTAGCTAAACACGAAAAGCCCCAATGACACCCGAATTCGTTTTGCTACAAGACCCTTCCCTGGAAGTTCTAGTGCATCATGAACATATATAAAGTAGCACACGGGTGTTGTAAGTGCATCACGAACATCATAGCAAGCTTGATAAGCTACCTGTACCGCCGGCATGAAACACGATGCCCGATCATGGAGTTGACATGCGACTGGCAGGGTATCAAGGCCCGATATGGCACCGCCGTCGTGACGTACAACACAGTCGAGGACGTGGAGACGGCAGTCCTGCTACTCAGCCGACAACAGACGGCTTTTCAGTCTCAATGTGACTGGGCCCCTTATCGGTGTCATCAAGCGGGAAAAGCAGCAGGAGCACCAGATGAAATCAACTGGACACCGGAATGAAGACACGGCGAGCATCATCGAGCAGATCAAGATCCGGGTTTGCAGGGGTTTGGGGTTGGATAGGAGAAATAGGACCCCCCCTATTCAAAATAAGAGCCATACATTATTGTATCCGATAGAAAGGTCTGGGGACCAGAATATTACTATATGTATGTTTCATGCCCTGCCCTCAACACCGTCATATGCATAAAGCTATAGGAGAAACCGAATACCAGGCCTAGCATTTAGAAGCCTTCACCATGACCCCTTTGAACCCTAAGCCCTGAAACCGGCGAATATCTAGAATCTAGATCCCATTATTTATATAATCACAATCAGCCGAATAGTCCGAAAGCGTAATCCTGAGCAAGTGTCTGGCCACTGATGCTGTCCATCATTTGAGGGCTTTCTTTTAAGCTTCGGCATCCTCATCGGTTATGGGGATATATAATGGGATTTGAGGCTGTATATGATCGAGCTTGGAGAGGTCTAGGGTGGGGCTTGGATCTAGGGTAGGAATGTTATAAGTACTGTAAGTCTGGGGTGTCAGGGTCGAATTAATAGGCTTTGGGGGATGTTGCTGCCCGGGCTTGACTTCAGACTTCTAGATTCCGGCTCTTTCTTCAGGGCGGGCTTGGGTTCAGGATTTCGGCCTGTCTGCTTCCTGGCATTTTGGGTTATAGGATCTATTCTTCTGTTTTGTGGTTTTGGCGCTATAAAGGGATTTGAGGCTGTATATATGATCGAGCTTGGCAGGTCTAGGGTGGGGCTTGGATCTAGGGTTCGAATGTAGTAAGTCTGGGGTGTCAGGGTCGAATTGATAGGCTTTGGGGGATGTTGCTGGCCGGGCTTGACTTCAGACTTTTAGATTCCGGCTCTTTCTTCAGGGCGGGCTTGGGTTCAGGATTTCGGCCTGTCTGGTTCCTAGCATTTTGGGTTGTAGGATCTAGGCTTCGGTTTTGTGGTTTTGCACTTGACCTTACAACCCCAAGACTAGGCCTGAACACTGAAATAAAAGCACCCTCCCCGACCCGAAACCCCAAAATTGAACCCTGGACCTCCAAAGGCTATATATGCCTTCGAATTCGCCCTTTATATATAACCCCAGCCCTTATAACCCTAAACACTGAAACCCTGAAGCCAGAAAACCCAGACCCAAATAACCCTGCACTGAAAACTCCAACCCTGTCTCCAAAGCACTAAACACTGAAGCCGGAAGCCTAATAAGTCCTGAAGCCCAGAACCCTGATTCCCAACAGGCCAATATACATATATATATACAATTATAATTAAACCCGAATCCAAAACCGATCGGCCCTCGGGTTGTGCTTACATTGGAAGGGGTCTGGGGTTCTGGGTTTTCTAGGGTTTAGGGTCTAGGGGCTAGGGCCGACCCGGTGGCTAGGCTTCGGCGCTCCGCTACATGTACAGTGCTACTCGGCTGTAATCACAAGCTTCCCTAAGCCCCAAAACCCAAAACCCCACACCCTAATATCCCTACACCCCAAGCTCCAACCCTGTATCCAAGGCAATTAACTGGCCTAAATCCGACACCTTAAGGCCTCAACCCAAAAACCCGAGGCCCAACCGTACATCCTCAAACCCCAACCCAAAACCTGAAATTTGTCTTGCCAATTGGCGACAGGATCTTCTGGGCCTGTGGTTTTCATTACTCTGGAAGGGATCTGGGGTTTTGGGTTCTTGTTAGGTAATTAGAGGGTGAGGGCTTGTAGGGTTTATAAGGCTTCGGCACAACGGCACATGTACAGTTCTACTCACCTGCAATGCATAATCATGGGGGGCGAGGCTTATAATTTGATCCGGTGAACGTATCTTTTTTCCATGCCGCCGGCTCCCCACCTGCAGCTAGATGTCGTGACATCGCGAGCACTGCATAAGCTAGCCGGTAGCCAACATAAGATTTGCAGGGGAGCTCGGAAATACCTCCTTCCACCGGGCCCTCAAATCCGCCTCGTTCTTGATTGGATTTTCATCAAAGGTCCGATGGCAAGCAACAACCAAAGCAATCTCCCAGGCGAAGGCGGCCCCGAATTTGCGAATGCTGACACCCGTGTTGTAGGCGTTATCGATCTGCAGGGGGTTATAAAGGAATCTGCAGCCCTGAACCTTAAACCCCATAACTCCCAAATCGCAGAAATGTTTAAACCCCCCAAAATTATCCCGCTACATACGAGCTCATTCTAGATTCTAGAAGCACCTTGAGGCCCAGCATCGTGCGAACCAACTTGGGAAGACCGCCGCCACTGCCCTTATTGATGAAGAAGTTCTTGTTTGCCCCCGCCATAACGGATATGGAAGCACAACTCAAGCCGGGAGCAGGCACTGTGTAGCACCTCCAGAAATCATTCAAATCCGAACCTAGTAAATCCTAACACTTAGCATCCCAAAACCCGTTATGCTGAAGCCCAAATTGACACAAACCCTTTTGAGGCACTTCTTCGTCTTCTGCAGCTCGTTGGGCTTCGGCAACCCGTTAGCAAAGGCAGGGCCCAACATGTCCATGATGTCCCCGACGGTCTGGTCCTCCGACATTCTTAAAAGGATATAGAAAGGACTACTCGGGTAGATCGCAGTCCTTGGACAGCTTGGCCTTCTTCTCGGGGGCTTCATCGGGCTCCTGGGTGCAGGTGTAGCTAGAACGAAATTCATATATGATTCGACATAAAGGCCTTCCGGTCCTTCGGCAGCTCGGGAGCAGCCTCATCGTCCTGGACATTTAACTACAAAATAGCATGCTTTCAGGGATAGCCCTAGCTGCCCAAGCCACCTTCGTGTCCATCTTCGTAGGAGCATCCTCCTCAAGCCAATCGTTTGTGGAGCCATTAACCTTAAAGCAAACTCCTGCAATTCCGATGCGTGCCTCGGCCTTCCTTTTGTTGGCGGAAGCTTTTGCCTTGGCCTTTGCAGCCCTAGCCTCACCTCAGTATTATAAGGCAATCAGAGAAATGACTCCATGAAGGAAAACGAACGAATCGTCTGGGCACCCTACACTTCGCAGCAGCTTTCTTCTTGTTCTCGGCCCTAATCTCGGCTTTCAAAGTTTGCTGTGCCTGCAAAAGGCATTCGCCATCGGCTTCACCGAGCCCCTCCAGCTGCTCTGCGAGGCCAGGTGGTATCACTGCCCCTTCTGCCAGCAGCGGCTTTTTGACCTAGGCACATAGGACTTATGTGTCATAATCGCTCCAACCATGCAGCTTCAGGCCTCATCCCTCAGAGCACAGCCGACTTTCTCCTTTTTCCCCACCTGGCGGTCTAGGGGATTTGGGGTTTAGGGGTGGTTTAGGGGTATTGTAATTATAAGGGTGTGGAGGGTTTAGGGTTTGGTTGGAGTTGTAAGGCAGGGCTGCGTAATTCGGGGATTCACTACAATTAAAATATTTGCCGACCAAACCTATATATCTCAAACCTGAATCCTGAACCGGGAAAGCCTCGCCTCTCAAGCTTACAATCCTAAACCAACCAAAGCCCTAAACCTTATCAGTTTCATAATACAATGGTACGAAACAAGACCGAAAAAAAGCGCACAACCCAGACCCCGGAATAAAGCCCGATAGCCCCGGTGGTCGGCCTCGATAGGGCACTCTTTGGCCTCTCCCGACTCCTGACAAAGATAGTTGTATAAGGCTGCTGAAGGTGTCACCAAATGCCCCAATGTCCTTTGCATCCAATGTCGCCGGCTGGGAAACCTCCTGGGAAAAAGATTCCAAAGAAGACTCAATCAAGAATGTCCCAAGAAGTCCTTTGCATCCGATGTCGTAGATTGCGAAGACTCCTGGGATTGAAATTCTAAAGAGGGTTTCAATCAATCAAGAATGGCAACACAAGTCCTTTGCATCCGATGTCGTAGCCTGGGAAGACTCCTGGCAACAAGGTTCAAGGTGGCTTCCAATAATGAAGAGTGGTCCCAAAGTCCTTTGCATCCGATGTCGTAGCCTTGGAAGACTCCTGGGAACAAGGTTCAAGGTGGCTTCGATACAAATCATGAAGAGTGGCCCCAAAAGTCCTTTGCATCCAATGCCGTAGGCTTGGAAGACTCCTGGACATGAGATTGAAAACAACTCTTCAAACAATCAAGAATGCCCCTGAGCTCCTGTGCATCCGATGTCGCGGCATCCTGTTGGGAAGAGGATTCTAATAATTCTAATGATCAACCCCAAACACCTAAATTGCATTTTATAATATAACCTATAGGTTCAGGGTTTATTACGGTTCCGGGAAAATAGCACAGGTATTCCAGCGATCCGTGCTGCTGCTGCTGCACAACAGGCCTCCTGCTCATCTTCATCTTTCCCACTTTCAGCCTGGTTCGGGGATAGGCTAGCAATTCCAGTAGGCAGCAATTAAAGAACACCATGTGGCCTGGGACTCTGCACCGGCCCCTTCGACGACCAAGCCCTGAAAGCAAGAATTGTAGGAAGATGCAACGACCGGGCTTGGAATTCGCACCTCGTCGCTATCACCATGCTCCAGCGAACTCGAAGCCTGCTCAAAGGGTGTTCTGTTGCAGTGGATGATCATACATAAACGATTGGCTTGTAAAGAACAAGCCTCGAAACCCGGAAGGTTCGTGATCACGTCCTTCAGAGCCTGTATCTCAGGTAGCCTCCCGAGCAGGATCGTTCATCCAATCATGGAACCATGCCCTTTCTGAAATGCAAATGTAGCCGGTGCCTTGCATTCCGAGTCTTCCTCGACAGGCGGATGGCATACATCACCAAAGACCGGCACCGGCCGCCTTCGGTGTTCGCCCAGTCCTGGCGGGAAAAGAACGAACCCAGGGCTCCCTTCCCCACTATATATACAGGGATCTAATAATGCTGCCTAGTTTCTGACTGCATCTTCTTGGCGGGCTTTTTCTTCCCCTTCTTTCCAGAAACCGGCGGCTTGTAGAGACCCCGGGCGCCGTTCAGCAGGAGGAAAGCCAACTGTCGCAGGATTTTCGCTAGTGCACTTATGATTGAGATATGCACTTCAGCAGCCCAAGACGGCCTCAAAGGTCTTCGGGTAGGGAATGTTGAGACCGTACTTCGAAAGGAGGTGCAGGCAAAGTCTGAAGTTCATACACACCTCGGTTGAGTCGCATGCCAAGGAATCATGTTGTAGACTACTGTAGTATGTACTAAGTCAATGACATCGACTTCGTAGACCATACCACAGCAGAGGCTGTTCTCGGTAAGCTGAATCACTTGGCCATCCTGATATTGTTATGTTCACGACCAGAAATGTGCAATCGTGGAAAGCTGAAATTCGCACCTCGTCTTCACGAACGGAGGCCCAGTCAACCTTCATCTCCTCAAACACATTCTCCAGCAGGCGGTAAAGGTCATTGGCCTGTTGTGCCTGCCAGCATAGCAGTGAAAACCCGAGCCAAAGCAACCCCGAACAATCCCCACCTGCAAAGCCTTTGGCGAAAGCCCCTCCATGGGGCCACTCGAGCTCGCTGCTCTAAGAACCAAAACTTCTTGCGGCAATAGGCAAGGGGCCCCAGCCACAGAAAGCAAAAAAACCTAACCAGCAATGCAACCCTGCAGCCCTTAAGCCCCGACCCTTTACCGCAATGCAACCCTTTCCGAATTTCAGCCCAGTAATTTAAACCCTTTTAATTTATCTACACAAAAAACCCTGCGGTGGGTGGAAGCACCACCTCGCTGGCGCTTTCGAAGAGCTCGTTTCATCGACCACCATGACGGAGCAGAGTTAATTAGGGTTTCTTAGAATTATAGATTAATGAGGGTTTCGGGAAATTCGGGCTGGGACAAAATTAAAGATGCGAGAGTTGAGCCTTGGAATCGTGATTATATAATTAGGAGCCTAAACGTCGACCTAATCCTCCAACCTGGTTTGCCCATACCATCGAGCCCCCAAGAATATCATACTACTAATACTACTACTACTACTACTACTACTACTACTACTACTACTACTACTACTACTACTACTACTACTACTACTACTACTACTACTATACTTCTACTACTACTACTACTACTACTACTACTACTACTACTATACTTCTACTACTACTACTACTACTACTACTACTACTACTGCTACTACTACTAATACTACTATCTTCAATATACGACTATACGACGACTATATAGGATAAAATGCCGTACATCATGCCGTGCTACAGCTAGAAACACATAGGTCCATGAGTCCCTTAACTATACCAGCCGAGACCTCGCGAGGGAAGGCCTTGATCACACATGAGTCCCGATCCCCTGACTTTCGTGCAAGCCCACAACATGTAGGGAGTTGGGAGCCTCAGGGTAAAGCTTTAGGATTTAGCGCTAAACCCTATTCCTAAACACTAAAGCTTTAGGATTTAGCGCTAAACCTTATTCCTAAACACTAAAGCTTTAGGATTTAGCGCAATTCTTTAGGATTTAGGCACCAGAATGGGCGGAACCCCAAGATCGGCCCCTGCCCTAATTAAAATGCACATTTTATGAACAGAATTTATCACTCCAAAATCTGCCTCCGATTTTCCAGAAATCAGCCGCCAAACCCTATTCCTAAACACTAAAGCTTTAGGATTTAGCGCTAAACCCTATTCCTAAACACTAAAGCTTTAGGATTTAGCGCTAAACCCTATTCCTAAACACTAAAGCTTTAGGATTTAGCGCTAAACCCTATTCCTAAACACTAAAGCTTTAGGATTTAGCGCTAAACCCTATTCCTAAACACTAAAGCTTTAGGATTTAGCGCTAAACCCTATTCCTAAACACTAAAGCTTTAGGATTTAGCGCTAAACCCTATTCCTAAACACTAAAGCTTTAGGATTTAGCGCTAAACCCTATTCCTAAACACTAAAGCTTTAGGATTTAGCGCTAAACCCTATTCCTAAACACTAAAGCTTTAGGATTTAGCGCAATTCTTTAGGATTTAGGCACCAGAATGGGCGGAACCCCAAGATCGGCCCCTGCCCTAATTAAAATGCACATTTTATGAACAGAATTTATCACTCCAAAATCTGCCTCCGATTTTCGAAAAATCAGCCGCCAAACCCTATTCCTAAACACTAAAGCTTTAGGATTTAGCGCTAAACCCTATTCCTAAACACTAAAGCTTTAGGATTTAGCGCTAAACCCTATTCCTAAACACTAAAGCTTTAGGATTTAGCGCTAAACCCTATTTCCTAAACATTAAAGCTTTAGGATTTAGCGCTAAACCCTATTCCTAAACACTAAAGCTTTAGGATTTAGCGCTAAACCCTATTCCTAAACACTAAAGCTTTACATTGCCAAAAATGCTCCTAAACACTAAAGGTTTAGGATTTAGGCCCTAAACACTATTCCTAAACACTAAAGCTTTAGGATTTTGAGTACAGGTTTTTTGGCGCAGCCACAGGTTTTGGGGATTGTTGTTAAATAGGGCAGTACTGCCGACGACCCAATGCTTAGCGGTGGCACGGCATACACCTTGGTGGGACAGTAGAAGCGCTGTTTAGGCATATTGCATGTGGCGATGCCTTCAAACGCCGAAAAGGCAGGGGAGGTGGCAGCGGTGGGCCGTCAGGGCCCACCGGCCTGCCCCCCCTGAGTTTAGGGTTTAGGGTTTAGGGTTTAGGGTTTAGGGTTTAGGCCAAGGGCTTGAGGCCTGCCCATAGGCCCCAGAGTAGTTCCTTTGCGGGATTACCTTATAGAATTCTAGATATGAAACCCCCCCAAAAGGAACTACCTTGGGGCCTTTGGGTAGAAGTCTGTTTTTCAAGGCTTGAATTCAAGTCTGGGACTCTTGGATTCCTGACTCAGGGCTTAAAAATACGGGATTTAGGGCCAAGCTTAGGGTCAGTCGCACCTTCTCCGGTGTACCAGTGCAAGAAGGCCTTGCGGCGGAACATGGCCTCAGCTCGCCGTTTCCAGGTTCAGGGGGCGGTTTGACTTTGGTCTTAGGGGTTTGGGAGTGGGCTTCGGCGCGAGCGAAGGGTATACACTGCGCTATGGATTTAGGGCCTCGGAAAATCCGAGGTAGTCGCGGAAACCTTGCTTTCCAGCTCCAGGGTAAACCATGCTTTGGGGACAACTTCTGTAACTGTCAATACACTGCGAATAATCATAGAATCGCCTACCGACCTTGGAACACGTATTTGAGGCGAGACCCTTAGGGACTGCATTGCTCAGCGTAAGCTCTCAGACCATCATGAAGTGTAATCCGAGAGGCCGTGAAGTACTCCGCCACGCGCTTGAACATCTCCTGAAGTGTCTCTGACATGTGCGTTGTAAACCTGGACATACTTGAAGACCTAGCCCTACGCTGAGAGTCCTCCAACCTGAACCACCCCGCCTGAGCCCTAAACTCTCTGATGCCTGGTGCCAGGACGGAAGACGGATATCGGTTGCTATATAACTAAATCGTCAGATAAGAATAGGGTTTTGATGCATGTCGTAAAACTAGTACAATCAGAAACTATAGGGAATAGGATTCGGAATTATTCAAGCTTCTATATCCTGGAATCCCACACCGGAGATGAATCTACCATAACTCAAGAACGTACATGGAGAGCGATCACCTGATGACACAAGCTGTCGATTCATAGCTTGCAGATTCTTGCGAAGATTAATTATGCAGCGCCACAAACGAGAGAAGCGCAAAGATGTATTTACGTATCACTGAACAACAAACAACAGCACACGCACAGTGCGTGTGTATCTATGTGTGTATATATATATATGTATATATACTTACCTGTATGTTTTCATATAGATGTATGTATGTGTATAATTGTGTAAATATATGTGCATATATATATATATATATATATATATATATATATTCATATTATGTATATTTAACCACACACACACACATATACATATATATATATATCTTTATGTTTATTTCTTATTTAGATTTACTTATTTCAGCCCTTCGCGCACGGACTCGACATCTCCTGGATAGCCGTGGAGTTTCCAGCGAAGGCCACAGCCATCTTCAGACCCTCGGAACGGAGGCGCCATTCTGAACCGATCTACATGAGTTAATTACATTTGAACTACATCTTTTAATGTATATGCACAAACTGATTTGTTCGATTCATGTCAGTCAAAGGTGTAGTCGAGCTTTGAATCCTCGATGACCAGCCAGCTTGGGTCGATGTCGTGCTTGCGGATTTAGGGCCTACGCAAACACTTGAGATTGCTGAAAACAATTACCTGGACCCCTAAAAGTATGTAGAATAATAGCCTTTTTTAGGTTTTGGGCCATGATTTTGGGGGTCTAGGTATTGATAATTTACAGCTTGCGCCCTCAAAGGTAGCAGGCGCCATCTGACAGCGCAGCAACTCGAAGGCAGATTATGCATATGAACAAGCCTGGCCTAAGACACCGGTCTTCTTTTCCTCCAGCCGGAAAACTTTTCTCTGATCCCCAAACTCTAATCCTCGCACCCTAACCCCTCCCATCCCTCTCCCTAATCATCAATCCGTGAACACCGGATTTTAACTGTTCCTCCCTCACCCCTAATCCCTAAACCGGGAAATCTTCGGCCGCCTTGGGCGGGATGTCACAGACGGAGGCCTTGATGTTGTTAGGGATCCACTCCTTGCAGAGGGTTTCGGGTTCAGGTAGGGTTCAGGGTTCTAAGATGCACTCCATGGCAGAGCGGCTGACAGCTGGCTCCTATATTTCGCCAGGGCGAGCCAGCATGTCAAGATTCTTTGAGTCGCTAAGGCACGCGGCCGACGGCTTAGGGTTGAAGCCTTACACGCTAAGCCCCCCTTTCCCAACTTGCACTGCAAGGTTTGCCCATCAGACACAACCGAGTTGCACGGCTTGAGGAAACTCATCATTATCAGCCTCCCACTAATCGTAGTCCTTATAGTCCCTTTACTCCATTTTTCAACCAAAGCCGCGCAAACCAGGATTTCCCGTTCAGGCACTTGGCTCCAAGGCCCTCCCTACGACACATGTTTCCTCTAGACTCCGTGCAACTATCCGGACAAGCATCAGGTCATCTTAACGGGTGCGAGGATTCCCTCAACTTTCATCCCCAAACCGTGCCCATAACTACTGAACTCCAAACAACGACAGTACAACGACGCACCGTCCTCACTCGCATGAGCTCCTGCGTCAAGACCCTGTGTTACCTCACCTCTGTACAGGTCTTAGCCCCGAAACCCTACCTAGACCCGAAACTACCAATCATTATACCCAAAAATATCCACTATTAAGGACCATAAGGCCATAAGGGCTCTATTAAAGGGCACTTGGGGGGTGCTGGAAAGCCCGAGACCCTCATCCCTGAAAGCTCCATCAACCACGCGCAGATGAGGCTCCACGAAGTAGGACGAGTTCTTGTTTTGCACATTCAACATTTGCTCATCCACCTGCAGGTATGCTTGTAGGGCAAGATGAGGCAATCTTCATCCCGTATCACGCCCCCAAACCCTGGAGAAGAAGGGCCTGCGAGTCAGCGAAAGTGGCACACTTGTATTGTACAGAAATGCATTGAATCTTCGCTGCTTGTGCCGCGCCTCTTTCGTGGACATGCGGCCTCGGAAGCTTTTCTGCGACAAGGTGTCATGCTAAGGGCGTCGGGTGTAGGCTTTGCAGTTTTGGGGTTGCGCTTTCTTGGACGTAGCAAACTAGGTCCACAATTCGCAGTCGGCGCGCTTGACCCAAGAAAACAAGTGAACACCAATACACTCATACGCTCCAAAAAACCTAACCTATTCTTTGCTAAGCCCCCAAGCCCCAAAACTGGGCGAGTTTCAGCACCTGGCGTCTTGGTGCTTTCGCGAGAAGCAGGTTCGGGTTTCTACACGGATTTCAATCCCTGTTCTGGGGTGCTATGAATGTTTAGGGTTCAGGGCTATGAATGGTTCTGGATTTGGCAGGGTTCAGGGTGTGGGGTCTAGGATCTATACTTGTTCTTAGAGATGACAACGTTTAGGTTTACAGGCTTTGGTGGCAGACCCTAAACCACAAACTAATTTCCTCTGGACCCCCCACCCTACCTCTGTTGTAGCCGAAACAGCCCCGATTCACTTGCCTAATAATGAGCAACACTATTCCTGAAGGTAAACCTTTACAGCTCTAGTAAAGTATAGCTCAGAACCCTGTTCTAAGTAAACGCGGAAATAAGGGGGGAGGCCTTAGTTCGGCTCTCGTCCGGGCCTCGGAAGAGCGCGGCGGCGGTGAGGTAGCGGCCATGCCGAGGATCAGCAGCGCACATCATGTTCTTCGCATCGAACCTGGAAGCAAAAAAGAGAGCTTAGGGATCGGAGCTTTAGATGCTTACAATTACAAACACTAAGGCCTTGGGATGTCGAGGATTTTGGGGTGCTGGGCTGCAGGGTTTCTACGGGTCTTAAGGGTTGAGAGGACACGAAGAGAGCGAGCGAGAGATTCGAAAGAGAGGCTGCGAGGAGAGGTCGGGGGAAGAACCTGAGTCTTGAGATACTCGCACCCTCGGCAATGTGTCCGCTGCCACTCAGGCTCACCTTGCGTGTTACATCTCGCCTATCCCTCATCTCACGGCGCGGCCGTAGCTGCGTTATCCTTTAACCTAATATTACATGCTCAACATTCCTTTTGAACCAGGAGCATGAGCTCGTGCCTGCTAGCGACCCTTTAATCAAACCTCAACAACCGAAGCATTCCTGGTGTCAATAACTTTTCGTGCTTGTGCATGAACTGTCGTCGATGTTGCGACACGACCGGGTCAGCTACACAGCTCAGCGGCAAATCTAGGATTTTCGAATCATTACTCCCGACATCCCTCGACCTTGCGTTCCATAGGACCCCAAAACCCTCTTCCGTTCAAAGATCTGCTGGCACGGACCCTGTGCGTGAGCATCTGCTACAAGGCGTGCCACGCCCGCCGGGCGCAGCAGTTCTCAAGTTTCTTATGTATTTGCTTCTTGGGCATGGAAAGCCGTCACCCAGCCAGCATCGCACACCTTCGACAGAGGATTCCAGTCGTGGCGAAAAGCTGCTGAGCACAGAAATCTTGACCTCGGGAAGACATAAAATGCTCCACACTCTTTCTCCCGAGTCAAAGCTTCAGCGAGCCGATGCAGTATCCGTAAGAAAGTATATCCCTGACCCATGCTGAACCACAGCCGTCCTGCGGGTATGCATCTTGCTAACACCTGGGGCACTGTGCTGGAGATTCGGCGTTGAAAGTCTGGCATCGAGCTCGGCAGTCAGCAGCGCACCACAAACTCAAAAGCTTATTAATGCTGCTGTAGCTATGGGGCGAGCGCACCAAAGTCCAGATTCATGTGGAGGCATGTTTTTTTCAGAAGAAGGTACAGCCTATCGCCAAGTATAGTAAGCATAACTCGCCTGGGACTTGAGTATCGCTCGCCCTCTTGAAGTGCTATGTGATTCACATGCACTGCGTATCTTGTCGACACGAGAAAATGTAGCGAAGCTCACGGCTTCACTGTGAGACCGGTAGAGCATGTAGAGCTTTACCAGCGCCGTCCTCGTCTAGTGCCGAAGGGCCCAAACGTAGGGCGCACAAATCCTGCACGTGCAGGGGCAGATGGCGCTGATGGGAAAACAAGTGATGGCGCACCACGGGTCGTCACCCTGCAAGTTGCCAAGCCTCGATACTCTATAATCTTCTAGGATTCTAGAGCTTGGCCCAAGCAGGACGACCCCTCATCTGCGCCGAAATGCAGGAGATGTGCTCTCAGCGCTTGCTTCTCATGAGTGCGAAGATAAGCCCGGCATTAAGCACAGTGAGACCTCCGATGACTAAGGACATCGTCTTAACTTGCGACTGCATGGCGTTCAAGGCCACCAGTGACTGCGCCGCCGCCGCCGCACCCGCGGTGTCGCTGACCCTTGGGGCAGCCGCCTGGGGCGAACCACTCCCGGCTGGCTCCGGGTTGGGCTCTGCATCCTCTGACTTCGCGTTGTCGACGAGGAGGCCTGCATGAGGGGTCTTCTGGGTTGTAGTTTTGGGGCTCTGAAAAGTATTTATGAATGGGTACCTCTATAGGAACCATAAGGGAAATTAAAAAGCTTCCCAAATTGCCACTTAGTCTTTTAAAAAGACCAGTGTCTGCCTCATTCAGTCCCCTGACCTTGCGGTTAGAAGGATCCCCAGATTCCCACTACCACTGCTCAGTGGTCTATATAATATCGGAGTTTCCGAGAATAGGGGACCCTAATACCCTAAATAGTAGGATCCTTCTATGCAAAATGATGTACCTCTCATTTTCGGAAACTCCCATATCTGAACCCTGAACCCTTAACCGTAGTCTACGTAGTATCTGAAATACTTCTGGGGGGATCTGTATATAATATAATATAATATAATATAATATAATATAATATAATATAATATAATAATAATATATATATATATATATTAATATTATATATATATATATACACTGTCCGTAAGCCCTAAGCCCTAAACTCTTTAAAGGAGCCCCTAACAGGATCTATCTAAAGCTTCCCTAAACCTTCTCTCTCTCTCTCTCTCTCTCTCTCTCTCTCTCTCAGGTATTCGGTGTCCCTAAACCCTAAACCCCTAAACCCTAAACTCTTCAAAGGATCCCTTTAGAGGATCCGTTAAAAGGATCTATATCTGAACCTCCAAATTTGCGGAAACTTCACAAATATCCTAAACCCTTTTCAGCACTAAACCCTAGACTCCCTTTTTGCATCCAAGCCTATTGCGACTGCCGGGTACCCTGAAGAAAGGAAACTGAAACCCTAGACCCCCTAAATTCCCTAAACCCCTCACAGGCTCCAAGCACGGACGTATATCCTAAACCCTAAAGACTCAACCCTTGACTCCCTAAACCCCTGAACCCCTAAAAAACCTCCCCCGCCTCGCTCGAAGGCGGCCGTGACCTCGGCCGTGGCGTAGTGGTGCTTTCGGAGGTGTCTCTTCACGAGGCCCTTCGGCTCCGCCCCCTTCTGAGGCATCCTGAGCTCTTGCTAAGGATCTACCAAAGATAGGGATCTATATACATATATATATATATAGAGAGAGAGAGAGAGAGAGTAATCAATATATGGCATCTTTGTTTTAATAATCTATAATATCCCTTCTAAGGCATCCTGCGGTTCTTGCTAAGGATATATGAATAATAGAGATCTATATGGGAGTTTCCGAAACTTAGGGGGTACCTTATTTTGGGGTCCTTATAATAAAGATCCTACTATTTCAGCACTCACTCTTGGACAAGCCTTACTATTTAGGGTACTATATTAGGGTCCCCTATTTTCGGAAACTCCCATATGGCTTCTTTGTTATAGTCATGTATAGTATCCCTTCTGAGGCATCCTGGGGTTCTTGCTAGGGAAGGTAGTTCAAGGTAACTTAATGGGGATCTATTGGGTTCTTGCTAGGGCATTTAAGCAAAATTTAGGCTACCATGATGTAGTAGTAAGGGCCTATAGTATATTTTAATATATGGTTTGTTTATTATGGTAACTTGAAACTGTTCCCTTAAGAAGAGCCCAGCGTCTGGAAGTAGGTGGGGTTCGCGGCCAGAGGAGCCGCACGAGGCAGACTGGTGCTGCCCATGAGCTGCGCGTCCACGCGGGCGGCGCAGTCTCGACCCTCTGCGATGGCGGTGACGACGAGGGAAGCACCACGGCGGCAGTCGCCACAAACGTACCTGGGTTGTGCTTTAAACGCTTTGAAAATTATTATGAATAGGTTCCCTTTATAAGGAAATAAGGGAAATTAAAAATTATCCGAAAGCACAACCCAGGCACAAATTGCTCCAAGGGGAAGCCTCTGCCTGGTACTCGCCGTACTGGGCCTTAAAGTTCGAGTGCGAATCTCGGGAGAGCTGGTTCTGTGGATCGATGGCAGTGTCCGGTCCGGTGAAGCCCATGGCCAAGACGACGAGCTCGGCCGGGTAGTTCACGGTACCGGTCTCCTTGCCCGATGGGTTGAGCTTTGCTGCCACCACAGCACCCACTGCGCTGGGATCCTGGGAGGAGGCGCGGAAGCTCTTGGTCTGCACCATGTACTCGCGCGGGTCACGGCCCAAGGTGGACTCGCCCTCGGAGTGGGCGTAGTCCACACGGTAGGTGTCTGCCCAGCAGGGCCATGGCGTGTGCTTCGGCCGGTCCTTGGGCGCGGCGTCACGCCGGGAGAACTGGAGGACGCTCTTGGCGCCAAGTCGGATGGAAGTGGCCACGCAGTCAACAGCTGTGTCGCCACCCCCGATCACCACCACGCGCTTGCCCTGCACATCGTAGGTTGTGGTGGTGGTATTCTTCAGGCCCATCTCGCTGTCCAAGTTCTTCTTCTGCGTGTCTGTCAGGAAGTCCATGGCCTGCACAACGTTCTTCAGGTTACGGCCGTCCGCGTTGCGCATGTCACGCCACATGGTCGCTCCGGTGGCCATGATGACCGCATCGTTCTGGCTGCAGAGGCCGTTCAAGGTCACGTCCTTGCCAACCTCCGTGTTGCACTTAAAGGTGATGCCCTCCTGCTGCATGAGCTTGATGCGGCGAAGGACCTTGTCGATCTTGTCCAGCTTCATCGAGGGGATGCCGTACATCAGCAGACCTCCGGGACGGTCAGCCCGCTCGATCACCTCCACGAGATGCCCCGCACGGTTCAGCTGCTGCGCCGCAGCGAGGCCAGCCGGACCCGAGCCGATGATGGCGATGCGGCGTCCCGTGCGCTGGAGCGGCGGCTGGGGCTTCACCCAACCCTTGCTGAAGCCATACTCGATGATGGACAGCTCGGTGGTCTTAATCGCGACCGGCTTCTCGTTGATGCCCAGAACGCAGGCTTCCTCGCAAGGCGCCGGGCAGGTGGTGCCTGTGAACTCGGGGAAGTTGTTGGTATCGAGCAAACGCTCGAGGGCACGCTTCCACTCGCCCTCATGTACCAGCTGATTCCATGTGGGGATGCCTATACTGAACTTAGAACCCTAGCAAAAATTATAATTGTAGCTGTTTCTTAGGGATTATAATAACCAAAAATTAAAAAATTATTTCTAAGTACCCCTAAGATGCGGTTGCCCAGCGGACAGCCACCTCCACCTTGATTGGGGCTGTGGCATGTGGGAGTTCCGCAGTCCATGCACCGAGCCGTCTGTGTCTGCATCCAATTGTGCCACTGTTGGCTCTTCTTGGACTGGGACGCATAGATCTCCTCCCAGTCAAGGATACGATCCTGCGTTCTTGTTGAGGAAAGTAATTGAACTTACCGTAACAAGGAAACCCTAAAATTTTCCATAGCTCTAACTTAAACAAAATGAGGAAGCCCTGAAACTTTCTAAAGATCTAACTTAAACATAATAAGGAAACCCTAAATTTTCAAAATTTTCCATTGATCTAACTTAAACATAATAAGAAAACATAAGGAAATCCTGATATTGTCTATAGATCTAACTTAAACATAATAAGAAAACCCTAACATTTTCCATAGATCTAACTTAAACATAATAAGGAAACCCTAAAATTTTCCATAGATCTAACTTAAAATAAGGTCGCTCACAAGAGCCCAGGATCCTTGTGGTCACGGTAAGGGAGGGCCTTTCTCTCGTACTCGTGGAAGCCGCGCCTCTTCTCGGGGCTGGCGACGGAGATCGGCTTTCCCGCCGCATCCTCGAGATCAGTACCAGGCGCAGGAGGCGGAGCACTCGCCTGGGTTTCTGTTTTTTTTGAGCTCCTTTTTATGTCTGCCCAACTGGTTGAGCTTGGGTTTCTGGGTTTAGGGTATAGGGTTTAGGGATCATAATAGGGATCATCTAAATAGTAGCTGATAGCTTACCATAGTAACTTAAGTTTAAGCTTTATCCCTTAACAAGAACCCAGTCGCTGCAGCCTTTACCGGTGCCTCCGACTTCGACTTCTCCTTCGCTGCCAGCAGCGCCTTCTTGTACTCCTTCGGGAAGATCTTCGTGAAGCGTTTCAGGGAGTCGGCCCACTTAGCCAAGAGATCTGATGCGACTTTGCTCCCGGTGTACTTCTGGTGCTCGGTGATGAGATCCTTCAACAGGGACTTGTCCTCCTCTTCGACGATCGCCTCAAGGTGGACGCTCGCCTTGTTGCAGAGGGCCTCCTGCATGTCCAGGATGTAAGCGATGCCTCCGCTCATGCCTGCCGCAAAGTTGGATCCCATCTGTCCGAGAACTATCACTGTACCACGGGTCATGTACTCGCATCCATGATCACCGACGCCCTCGCAAACCGCGGTGGCACCGGAGTTTCGCACGGCAAAGCGCTCGGCGGCGATCCCGGCGAAGAAGGCCTTGCCAGCCGTGCCTCCATAAAGCGCTGCATTGCCCGCGATGATCGCATCGTGCGAGGCATACGGGGCCTGGTTTGGTTTGTACACCACCAGAGTTCCGCCACTGAGACCCTTGCCGATGTAGTCGTTGGCGTCGCCCTCGAGCTCGAAAGTGATACCGGGAGCCAGGAAGTTGCCAAAGGATTGTCCGGAGCTGCCAATGAAGGACACGCGAATGGTTCCCTCGGGGAGGCCGGCGGCACCGTACTTCTTGCTGACCTCGAAGCTGAGGATGCCTCCAACGGAGCGGTCCACGTTGTTGATGTTGATGCCCTTGAAGGTTTGTTTATAAGCTCTTTAAATCCATACATCCTGAAACCTTAACCCAAATGCGCAAAAAAAACTTATAAACGGCACCCTAAACCCTGAACCTAAACTCAAGCCCTACCCCAAGCCTTGAGGTGGACCTGCTCCTTGTCCTGAAGCGCTGGCGAGCACCGGGAGATGAGGCTCTGATCCAAGGCATGGGCCAGCTCATGGTCTTGTGGCTCGCAGCAGTACCTTTCCAGTCATAGAAATCTTAGAAATCATAAAAATGGTAAAACTGGGAGTAATATAGCAACAATAATAGTCAAGAGAAATTAATAAGAATCATATGAATTTACCACTGAGCAAAAACTGAAAATAATGGCAACACGAATCATAATAATCACAGTAATTGGAGCGGCAGTACCTTAATGGGTTTAGCGGCTAGGGTTTTAGAGTTTGCAAGCGTCTTGCTTTCAGCTCATCGGGCTGTGGGTTCTTCGGTGCTCACTCATGGCAGAACAGGGGTCTAGGCTTCAGGGGTTTGGGAGTTAGATAGGAAGCAGCGGGGATTGTCATACCGAGCAAGCCAGAGATGATGCTCCATGGACCCCAACTTCTCGAACAACCCCTCAACCCCAAACTCTGTGTTCAACACTCCAATGGCGGCAAGCTCTAAACTCCATCGGCCCTCCCTGAAGGCCCATGTAAACTTTAAACCCTCACTCCGAAGCTGCATCGGGAGCTCTGCAATGTTGCTCATCGAGTTCTCCATGGTCCTCATGGTCGGGAAGCTAATTTCTGGTCCTTCTTGGGCTTAAGTACCCAAAATGTTACCCAGCTATGGCAAAGGGTCCAGGCTGGCTTCAGGAGGTCAGCGAAATCCAGATCCGCAGTCTTCGGGTTGTCCTTGAGATATCCTGGGTTCCACAGTCTAAACTACACGCAAATGTGCTATACTATACTATACTATGTTCTCTTTACTATCATAGAGTATACTATACAAAAATTTACTAAACTACCCTATCCTCAGCATCCCCTGCAGAACCAAGGGTGTCCTTACATTAATATAGGGGCCTTCATAATTAGAATAGGGTTTTGGGGCCCATTATACTGCAAAAAAATAAAGAACCCCCAAAATAGTATTGGTAATTATTTAGGCCCCCATAGTACTCATGCGACCTGGTATCCCTTGGGTCGGAGGAGGTCGGTCCGTCCGATGAGGTCGTTGAACTTCTTGATGCCAAGAGAGGCCATGATCTCGCGCGCCTCCTCAGCGACCTGGTCCATGGTTGGGATAATCTTAAAAATGATAAATTCTGTTCCTTCTTGGGCTTAAGCACCCATGAAAATTTAAAATGTTACCCAGCTATGCCAAAGAGACCATGAAGAGGTAGTTGATGAGGTGCTCAGGCTGCCCTGTGAACTTCTTTCGCAGTTCCGGGTCCTGCGTCGCCACGCCCACGGGGCAGGTGTTCAAGTGGCACTTCCTCATCATGATGCACCCCAAAGTAATGAGGGGAGCAGTGGTCATGGCAATTTCCTCGGCGCCCAGCATGGCGGCGATGACCACATCCCGACCTGTTCTTACCTGGCCGTCGGTTTGCAGGGTCACTCGGTTGCGAAGGCCGTTGAGGACCAGGGTTTGGTGGGTCTCGGCCAGACCGATCTCCCACGGAAGCCCACAGTGCTTGATGGAGCCCCACTTCGCCGCGCCAGTACCGCCCGACATGCCCGAGATTGTCAGGTGGTCGGCCTTGCCCTTGACGACGCCGGAGGCGATGACGCCAATGCCAAGTCGAGCCACGAGCTTCACGGAGATGCGTGCTGCCGGATTGGCGTTCTTCAGATCCTTGATCAACTGGGCCACATCTTCGATGGAGTACATGTCGTGGTGTGGAGGCGGAGAGATCAAGCCCACGCCGGGGGTTGCCTTGCGAGTTTCGGCAATCTTTCCGATCACCTTGTAGCCTGGCAGCTCACCTCCTTCACCCGGCTTGGCACCCTGCGCCAACTTGATCTGCAACTCCTCGGCATTGGCAAGATACTCTGCCGTAACTCCAAAGCGTCCGGAGGCGACCTGCTTAATCTTCGAGCGGAAGGAGTCGCCGTTCACGATGTCCCAGGTGGCTCCCCCGGCCACGAACTCGCCCTTCTCAAGCTGCGTGAAGCGCATCGGGTCCTCGCCACCCTCGCCGGTGTTGCTTTTGCCGCCCACGCGGTTCATTGCAACGGCCATGGCACGGTGGGCCTCATCAGAGATAGAGCCGAAGGAGGCGGCGCCGGTGCAGAAACGCTTCACGATCTCGACCGCAGGCTCCACCTCAGAGATGTCAAGCGGATCGCACTCCTCAGACAGGAATTCGAGCTGCCCTCGGATCTCCGTCTGCTCGGTGATCTTGTTCTGCCAGGTGGAGAACATCTTGTAGGCCTCGGTGGAGTTGGAGCGTGCTGCCTCCTGCATCTTGTAGATGACGTCGGGCGTGTTCATGTGGATCTCCGTCTCATGGATGCTGCGGAAGTGATACTCCCCGAAGTCCTCCAACTCCTCTACCTCGGTATCGACCAGAGGCGGCTGAGGCCGGTCGGGGAAGGCCATCTTGTGCAACTCCATCGCATCCATCTCGAAGATGTTGAAACCTGCGCCGTTGAGCACAAACTTGCAGCCGGTGAAGCACTTGGCGATGACTTCCTGGAAGGCCCCAGACATGCTCAGGGACCCGAATCTAGGACCCCCAAAATACTGGAGAATCCTCATTGTGAGGACCCCTCCCTTTTTGCATCGGGCCTTTACCACCGCCCGGTAAAAACCCCAAACCCTAAAAACCCTAGACCCTAAGCGTCTCAACAAGGGACCCTCCCCAGTTTTAAAGGCAATTAAAGGAAGACCGTCCTTGTCCATGCCCACCGCCTGGAAGAGCTGTGCGCCCTTGTAGCTTTGCAGACAGGAGATGCCCATCTTGCCTTGTTTCCCAGAAACTCCAATATCCCTCAATTAAGGAATATACCTTAAATCATATCAGGGATCCTACTATAGTTTAATGTATATTGCCCAGCATCAACTTCCTAGCAATAGGATTTAGGGTTTAGGATTTTGCGGGTTACGGTCATTACTTAGGGGTGCCCTTGTTTCAAAAGGGAAACGCCAGCATGAACGGGTAAAAGGCTACGTACTTCTTGGGGGGGCCGAGTTGCTCATAACCTTCAGGATACCTCCGTCAGAAGCTTTCCGGAAGTTCTCGATGCGCTGGTTCAGCGGGAGGTCGGTCCCCCGGACGCGGAGGAGGCTGAGGTAGCAAAGGTAGGGGTAGATGGCATCGCAGCCGAAGCCAAGGAGGCAGCAGAAGTGATGGATCCTTACTTGTCCATGGTCCGAGTGAAAATAAAAGGCGGAGACTATACAAAGACTCCAGAAATCACCCAAAATATAAAGGCATAAACCGTGAGCGTGAGCGGTGAAACCCTGAACCTAAAGGTTACGCACTCTAGTAATGTAGGAACCTGATTAAGAAACCTTAGGCATTTATCAGGGCTCCTTATATGCACCCTCCTATTTTGGAGTTTTTTGGCCCAGGATTTCTTAATCAGGTTCCTACATTATTCTAGTATCGTTATAGACCCCTTATAGTAACCCTTATAGCTCCCTTTAAAGGGACCCCAAAACAAGGCCCCAGGGTTTCTTAATCAGGTCCCCTACATTACCCTTACAGATCCCTTCTAGTACCTTTATAGATCCCTTATAGTAACCCTTATAGATCCCTTATAGTAACCCTTATAGATCCCTTATAGTAACCCTTATAGAACCCTTAAAGTAATCAGGTTCCTACATTACCACTCACCGGCTCGAAACCCAGGGAAATAAAAGTTAAAAAATTCAGAAGCGACTACCGTTTAAGAACCCCAAAAGTTGAAAAGTTGAGTTTTGTAGGCAATAAGACCAAGGATCTCATGGGCATAGTAACCCTTATAGATCCCTTATAGTAACCCCTATAGATCCCTTATAGTAACCCTTATAGTAATCAGGTTCCTACATTAAACCAAGGATCTCATGCGCATCCGCTCCTTCCACGACCAAGGCAACCTTCGCACGGAGCTTCTTGGCAATGAGGTCCTGCTCGGGTAGAGGTTAGAAGCTGCCCCCACCCTGTAATAGTGACCATAAGGATTATATAGGATTATATTAGGGCCCTATTGTACTCCTATTATACCACTATTACAGGGTGGGGGCAGCTCCTAAGGCAGAGGTTTCTTTGTTTTAGGGTTCCTTTAAAGGGGTCTATAAGAGCTTGCTATAAGGGTTCTATAAGGGTACCCAGAGGCTCCAATATCCCTTCATTAAGGAATATACCTTAAATCATATTAGGGATCCTACTATAACTTAAGGTATATTCCTTAATGACGGGATTTTGGAGTCTTTGGGTATAGGGTTTGGGGTCCAGGGTCCAGGAGGGTAGCATCCCGCGCTAAGGGTTTCGGGCTTAGGGTCGTTTAGGGTACGGCTTTATCGAATTTAGAAGGCTCGTAGGGTTCAGGAGCTACAACGATCAAAATGTAGGCTTTGTAGAGGTGACATGATCCTGTAGGGCTTCTGGGCCAATTTCAGGCTTACAGCTTATTTATAAATTATAAGCCCCAACCCCTAAACTATGGAGTTTTGAGACCGATGGCTTACATGGTCTCCTGATGCACGGCACCGACGGCGAGGAGCGAGCTGACCGGAACGCGACTTTGGCTCGCGCGGCGGTGCGACAGGACCTAGTTCATGGTTGCGATAGGACTTAAATGTACAGTTTTATTCCTTATTGGGTTTAAGTACCCAGAAACCCTAAAACCCTAAACCCAACTATGACAAAGGGACGAGGATGGCGGCGCCGTCGCCCAGAATCGCGGCTTCGGCCTCCTTGCAGATCTGCTCCAGGCGCTCCTTTTAGGGGTTTAGGGTTTAGAGTCATTCTCAAGGGGCAACATGCTGTAGCTAGAATGCCACATCAAACTAGCGACTTTCTTGCCGCAAGCTAGTGACTAGTGGTTGGGGATAGCTCCATCATACGACGGAGAGATCCAAAAACACAGGTTCCAAAAGAGCACCTAAACATCAGGATCCTAGTTCTGGAGTTAAGGGTGGCCTTACGGGGGGGATTCCAGAAACCCTTGACTGGTCTTTCGGGCCCAAATCCCGAGATGTGCTTTTGTTTTATATATACAGTATGTATTAATACATTATATATATATATATGCATGGATGTATGTCCCTTTGTGTTTTCTTTATTATGGCGCGCGCACGTATGTGTGCGTATGTATGCTTTATGCATAGATACCTTCGAAAATACATGATCAGGGCTTGTCCATGGGCTCTTTTCTTACCTTTGGTTAGTAGGGAATGGAGGAATGGGGTACAATTACAACTACTATTACTACCATTCTTCCATTCACTACTAACCAAAGGTAAGTTTTGAAGGCGCCCTAAACCCCTATAGATCCCTTTAAAGGAACCCAATAGATCCCTTTTGAAGGCGCTCCTTCAGCAGGTTGTTCCCTCGGGTCGCGCGGTCCGCCTGCCTGGCTCGCGACTTCGTCTCGCTGAGGCCGTAGGTCATGTCCAGCACGACGGCAGGCATACCTGGGTAAAGGGCACAGCGCACAGGGTGCAGTTTAGGGCATAGTGAGTAGGGTACAGGGTATAGGGTCCAGGGTATAGGGTTTTAGGGTGTGTGTATGTACGGCCATATATATATATATATATACATATGCTTTACATGAATATATGTTTATATTCATATATGGGAGTTCCCGAAAATAGGGGACCCTAATATAGTACACTAAATAGTAGGATCCTTACTATAAGGACCCCAAAATAAGGTACCCCTATTTTCGGAATCTCCCATATATGTACTGACTCACTGAAACAAAATTCAGTAGCCAAGAGAGCCATGTTAAAGGACATCCGAGACACCGTCGGCCTCGAGACCGAAGAGAGCGTTGTAGCGGCGCGGGCAGAGGATCGGGGAGTCCAGGAAGACGCGGCGGCAGGCCTCCGGGCAGCGCTTTAGGGTCTAGGGTTCTAGGGTTTTGGGGGTTTAGGGTTTTAGGGCTTTGGGGGTTTATAGGGTTTTAGGGTTTATGGTTTTTTTGGGGCTTTGGGGGTTTAGGGTTTTAGGGGTTTAGGGGGTTTAGGGTTTTGGGGGCTAGGGCTTGGGGGGTTTAGGGTTTAGGGCCGTTTAGGGCTTTGGGGGTTTTGGGCGTTTAGGGAGTCTAGGGTTGAGGGTTCTGCGTGGCTTGAAGGTTGAGGTTTTAGGGCTTGCTTTGGCTTCGGAGTTTTAGGTTTCATAGGTGCTTTATTTCCAAAACTGCAGAGCCCTCCCTAAACCCTAAACCCCTAAACCCCTCCCCGCCTCCGGGGAGGGTTGGAGGAGCCCCCGCTCCGGGCCCACTGGGCATGTCAGGGACATCACCTCGGTTCCCCGGTAGCCCCGCAATGAGAAGGGTACCCTTTTCCGACTGTTTGGTTTTAGTAAGGGAAACCCTGAACCCCGTTTTGCTACTGCCCTAAACCCAAGAGAGAAAAAGGGAAAAAGTGTACTACCGGGGAACCCAGTCACGTTTGCCTCACGGATCGGGTCAATCGGTGGATTCGTGGCCTGCGCAAAGAGCTGGAAGAAGTAGTCGAAAGGCTGGCGAGGCATCCGCGACATACCTCAACCCCAAAAGGCAGACCCCTAAGGATCTCTATATAAGAAAAAAGCCTAAAAACCAAACCCTAGAACACCAAAACGCTAAGTCCGAACGTCCTGAAACCGCACGTCAATCCTGCAACCCTTCAATCCTAAAGCCCCCCAGTCCCTAAACCCAAACCCTATGTCCCGAAACCCTACGTCCCTAAACTCTAAACGCGAAGTCCCTAAACCCTAGACTCTAAGTCCCCAAACCCGAAACCCCTAGACTCTAAGTCCCCAAACCCGAAACCCCTAGACTCTAAGTCCCCAAACCCTAAATCCCTAAACTCTGATATTGCGACCGCCGGGTACCCTGAAGAAAGAGGAAACACACAAGACATAGAGTTCCTTTTTTGCACCCGTGCTGAGGCCAAGGCTTACGACGGGAAAGGCATATGACATAGAGTTCCTAAACCCCTAAACCCCTAACCCCTAAACAGTTTGTAGAACCCTCCATCCGCGGCCCAGGGCGCAGGCCAGTGCCACATCGGAGCCCATGGAGCCCAAGGGCTCCGCACCGGTCTTCACCATGGGAGCCAAGAGCATCTCAACCTTCGGGGTTTGGGTTTGCTAGTTCATGGTTGGGATTGGATTAAAAATTTACATGTTTATTCCTTATTCGGTTTAAGCACCCATAAACATGTAAAATGTTACCCAACTATGACAAAGTCTAGGGCTCAGGGGGAGAACTTATAACAATAGCAATAGTAATCATGCTAACTAGTACTAACACTGAAGTAGACTGAGAAGAAGAATTAACGAAAGTATAATAGTACTATTAATAATGGGGTTCCTAAGACGAAACAGAATGATAAGATTTAGAACAAAAATGACAACAACAAGTGTCATCCTTCGCGCTATGGCGATTAGTATGATTATCTTCTAGCTCTTGCTATCGTTGCTAATATATACTCGGTTCGATATACATACATACATACATAACTGTATAAATATAAATATACATATATTACGTAGGCAAGTATGTACGGGCACGCCACCTTCTCGTAGGTGTAGCCGGTGTAGGTGAGCAAAGGCAGCACCCTTTTGTTCACCTGGATTCTTGTTAAGGGACTTAACTTTGAATGACAATATGAAGGAAACCATATTCCCCATATATGCGGTGTGGCAACTTCAATTACATAAACCTTTTTTCAACAGGCTTAAACTAAACCCTAAACCCGAAACCGCCTTTAACAAGAACCCAGTCACCAGAGTCGTGTCCGAGGCATCGAAGCTGCCTGGCTCCTCGTCGAGCAGCTCCTCGATCAGCGCCGCGTCCGTCTTGGGCTCCGGACCCAATCGGTCCTGAATCTAACTACTACAGTATTACTATTTGTAATATCTGATATTATATGTAGTATTATCATTGTTATTACTGCTACGTACTATTACTGTTTTGATTATTACAGGCTTGGACCTTAGTGGCTTTCGTGAGTCTTGGTGTTTAGGGCTCAGAGTTTAGGGCGTCGATCCTTGATCTCGATGCTGTGAGTCTTCAAGAAGTCAGCGTAGGGCTGCTTCTTCGCGTAGCGCATCTTCAGCTCGTTATCCTCGATGAGCTTCCCCTCGCTGAAGTCCACCAAGAGCATGCGGCCTGGACGCAGGCGTCCTTTGAACCTTCTTGCTGCCCACTGAGCAGGTCACAGGCAAGCAAAAGCTGTCATCTTCCAAACTGCATGAGACTAGGCAAAACAGGTACCAGAGTTACACTTTCCTATCAAGATGAGAAGGGCAATATAGGGCCTTAATAATCAGATTAGGGTTGTACTATAACTATACCAGGGAACCCCCCAAAATAGTATAGATAATTCTTGAGGCCCCTAGTTGACCCCTAAACCCGTAAAGGCGCCAAGGAACTGCACCTCCTCCTGCGGGACATCCACGACTCCGACCTCGGAGGCGAGAATGAGCCGCTTGTCCTCTGCAGGGCGATTTTGAGGGTTCCGAGGCTGAGATTCTAAAGGTTGCTGGCATATGGGGCTTTAGGGCTAGGGTTTAGGGTTTTGCAGGGCTTGAAGGGATTTTGAGATTTTGACGGATGCGAGGTTCAGAGTCTTAAAGCATATGCGGCTTTGTGGGCTTCAGACTATAGGTTGTTGGGTACCTACAGCCTCAGGTCCTACACTTCTGGCGAAGTCAGCTCCTATTCAGGATTGTTGAATGAGGAATTAGGGTTGTCGGATACAAAGTTATACATTTAGGGCTTTCTATCGAGGGTTGGAATGAAGTGTCCTGGTCCTACGCTATTCTGGCCCTGAACCCCGGCCTCAGATCTGTTTTGGGAGAGATGCTATCACTAGCTACTCCTAAACTTTTTTAGGAATATACTGATAACCTTCAGCATAGCACATACAAAACTTTAGGAATATACTGATAACCTGTAGTATAGCATATAAAAAAGTATGGTATTGTGTTGTAGGTAGTATAGTATACAACTTATATTCATACCCCCCCCCCTTGAGGTCGCTACTGACCCTAGGTAGGGTCCTTGGTGATGTAGAAGCGGCCTGGACGGAGGCCGTTTCGATCCTGGGTTCTTGTCAAGGAAGTTTACATTACCATAAGGAATAAACCCTATTCATTAAATGCCTATTTTTTTAAAAAAATACCTATTATGGTAATTTAAACTAAATCCTGAACCCTTAAAAGAACCCTTTGGGATCCCCATCCTGGCAACTCAAACTAAATGCGTTAAAAAAGAACCCAGGATCCAGCGTGGCGCCGAACTGGATACCATCGGTGAAGCAAACCAAGGCCGGGCCATCCCAAGGCTCCATGACGCAGGACAGGTACCTTATAAGGTTTTTTTTTTTTAGACGCTATAAGGTTTTAGGGCTTAGGGTTCTATGTTAGGGTTTAGGGTTATAGGGTTATAGGGTTCAGGGTTTCAATGTTTAGGGTATAGGTTGTAGGGTTTAGGGATAGGGTACCCTTTTGTCGTAGTATTCAGCTTTGATGAGGGAGCCCGAACACCGTGGCGAAAGGGTTTCTACTTCGGGGCCCAGGTACTTGTAGAAAGCTTTCTTCTCCGGCTCCATGCGGTCGGCATTTTGCCAAGCTTCCGGGATCACCATCATGATAACCTGGCTTGTGCTTCAAACCCTTTGAAAAATATTTATGAACAGGTTCCCTTTATAAGGAAATAAGGGAAGTTAAAAATTATCCCAAAGCACAACCCAGTAACCTCTGCGAGCTCGCGGGTGCCTGCGGCTAGCAGGAGCTCTACGACGTTGTCCAGCAACGCCGAGTCGCTGCCGATGTCCTCGTCCACGGGGAAGAAAGCATCCAGCTGCGCCCCGCCGAAGGCTGTGGTGTCGTTCATCAATGCCTCCCGGGTGCGGATAGAGTTGCGATTGCCTGCCAGAGTGTTGATCTCCCCGTTGTGGGCAATGCGTCGGAAAGGGTGGGCACGGTTCCAAGATGGGAAGGAGTTCGTCGAGAAACGCGAGTGCACGATTGCCAAGAAGGCTGTGCACTTCTCCGCCTTGAGGTCCTCAGTTCATCGGAAAAAGGTTACGATAGGCTCATAGAACGTCGCATCTTGCAACGCAACATAAACCGGGCGGAACAAAGTTTACCGAAAATCGGTCGCCTAAGGTCCAAGTAGTACTCGAAAAGTTGGTCGGGCTTGAACTGGCCCTTGTACACAATCGTGCGGGAAGAAAGGGAGCACACAAAGACCTGGATGATGGTGCTCTGAGGCTTGCTAGAGCTTGTACTTCCCGAAACCTAAACTCTGGAACATCATTACTTGCACATTCGGGCAGTGCAGGCACGCGCTCTAGTAACTGGCTACTAGGCAAAAGATTCAGGGTTCGGAGCTTCCACATAGTAGGGAGCCTTATTCGCAAGGATCCTTTGAGGTCTCCGGTGAAGGGCCTGTAAATACATGTGCACACAAAGGTACACACAATTTGTGTGTGTGTGTGTATATATATATATGCATTTGTGTGAAGAAGTGTTTCTGCATGTCCACATATATATATATATATATATATATATATATATGTATGTATGTACGTATGTATGTATGTATGTATGTATGTATGTACTTACGCACCCACGAATATGTAACTAAGGGTGTATTTGTATACATTACCACTTATGCACATATACATGTGCAATGTACATACACCTATAGGCGCATGCATGTACATGGATCCATATAGAAATATGTAAGCCACGCACTCTACATACTCCAGCACTATAACATAGGAAGAAATGTAAGCCCTAAACTTCCAGATCGTGTCTAACCTCGCCCCGCCTTCCCATAGGAAGAAACACAAGCCCTCCTTCCAGATTGTGTCTAAGCCTCGCCCACGAAACCCCTAAACCCTAAACCCCTAAACCCCAAAACCCCAAAACCCCTAAAACCCCTAAAACCCCTAAAACCCCTAAAACCCCTAAACCCCTAAACCTAAACCCGGCCTCGCGGTCGCGCAGCGCGACGGCGCGGCGGAGGAGGAAGAGGCGCGTCTCCAGGTTGAGACCTCGGGGTTTCTGACAAAAAAGCGGGACCCTAATAGGGTTCCTTTAAAGGGTACCATAAGGGCTCCTTTAAGGGATCTATGAGGGTTCTAAGAAGGTTTAGGGTTTTAGGTTGGGGTTTCCGAAAATTAGGGGACCCTAATAAAGCACCCTGAATAGTAGGATCCCTATTGCGAAGACCCCAAAACAAGGTACCCCTAATTTTCGGAAACTCCCACCTTCGAACTGTTGCGAAGAGATCTTGGCCGGACCTGCTCGCTGGCTTTTAGGGTTGTTTGGGGTCTAGACCTAAGAGAACCTAGGAATAAAAAAAGGTGCCTTTTTAGGTATAAGGGGACATGAACCCTAAAACAAGGGAATACGGGCCTACTCTAGGTCTTAGCTGTTTAGGGTCTAGGGTCTAGCGTTTAGGGTTTAGGATCTGCAGGGTTTGCTGCCTAGGGATCTTTAGGATTTAGAGAAGAGTTGAAGGAAAAATGAATGACTGGAGTGGGACCATCATCCAGGACTGTAAGCGGACATTACTATGAATCACTACTCAACCCCCTAACATAGGGGCCTTAATAGGTAGAATAGGGTTTGGGGGCCCACCATATTATAATTATGATAAGCAACCCCGAAGATGGTAGTAGTAATCTACTATTTGCTTAAGAACCCCCAAAAAATATAAAAAATATATTCCTTATGGGGTAATATAGGGATTATTATTTCTATTTTTTTGGGTGTATCTTAAGCAAATAGTAGTAATTATTTAGGCCCCTGTAGTATATTCGGGTCCAGGGGTTGAGTTTGGATGGCTCCGTAGGTTGAGGGTAGACGGATCAGAACTGCGAGTCTCGCACGAAGTGCTCCGACTTATAGTAAAACTCAGATCTCCACTATGCTAATTCCCCTAGGGATGTAAGGACTCATATTTTAAGGCTGTTGGGCCCAAAGACCATACTATATAAGCCTTTTGGGCTATTTTGATCCCTAGGGTCAAGGAATATAACTGTAAAGCATAAGAGGGTTACTATAAGGCATCTATAAGGGTACTATAAGGGATCTAGAATCGGTACGGGTAATGTAGGAACCCGATTAAGAAACATTGGGCCTTGATTAGGGCTCCTTATGATAATGGGAATCCTGCTATTTTGGAGGGTTAGAGTCCCAGGGCTTATTAAATCAGGTTCCTACTACCCGCCGCGCTGACAATGTGCCACTTAGAGTTTCAGTACCCACACTCGGACATATGTCCCACTTGGAGTTCAGGCTTCAGGGCAGTATGCACCTAAGATATCCTAAGATGCTGAGCCACTCTGCATTGAGACGGCTTCTGCGCGACTCATGGAAGAAACCCCATACTTGTCCAGATCTGTGCTAGTTAAGATGCGTTTTGGGGGTTGGTTATACTGTACACAACAAGGAACCCGTGAGGCTTCCATGTAAAATCTACAACCCTCGCTCCTCCGAATGAATACTACAGGGGCCTTCGTAATTAGAATAGGGTCTTGGGGGCCTTTATACTGTGATTATAATAAGGAACCCTCAAAATAGTATTGGTAAGTATTTCGGCCCCCATAGTATTGAATCCTCCGGCCTGTCTTCTTGCCGGTGTTTGACTTGCTGAGCTTCTCCTCTGCGGCGGAGTCTGGCGCATCCTCCTCTGCAAGCGTCACGTAAACTTGAGCCTTGGTCGTCCAGGTGGCTGCCGGGTTTAGTGTTTAGGGGTTTAGGGTTTAGGGTTTTTAGGGGGTTTAGGGGTTCAGGGTGTAGGGTTTGGGGTCTGGGGGTTTTTCCCTCCTACTTAGCAAGGACACAGCCCAAAATGCCGGTTTTGGTGCTGAGGGCTTGAGGGTTATATTCTCCTAAAACCTTGCAGTTTCGGGCTCACGGCAGGAACACGAACACAACAGTCCCAGTTTACAACCCGAACCGAGCCCTGCAATCCTGAACCCGCACAGAACCCAAAAAAGAGCAAAAACAAAATCAAAGACAAAAGGCAAAAGCAAACCCTAAACTCCACATACACATGTTTACATGTGTATGTGCACTCAAAGCTTCCCTAAAATCCCCGAACCCAAAATGAAAAACAAAACTATCCCAGAGACTTCAATATCCCTGAATTAAGGAATATACCTTAGATCATACTAAGGGTCCTACTACAATTTGAAGTATATTCCCTGGTATCGGAATCCCCTAAACCCTAAACCCTCTAGATCCCTTATAGACCCCTTAAGAGGAACCCTAACCCTAGGTCTTCCTCAATTAAGGCATATGTATTGGGAAACTGCCCTTTCGAGGAGCGATGAAGGGTTCCGTCGTCCGGGCGTACGGGCCCAGAACAAGGGAATTGACGGGTAGCGGTGCCCTCCAGCCGATGACCTTCCATAGCAGGTTCAGGGTTTGGCGCATAGGGCTTAGGATATAGGGTTTGGGGCTTCAGGTATAGGGTCTAGGATAGTAAGGGTGTCGGGCAAAGGATTCAGCATATTTTTTTCTTGGACGGAATACCGGAAACTTCATCCTTGCAGCGGGCCCAGCATAGTAAACCCGGGCATTTTGGGGGTGCAGTTGTATGCATATGCATATATATATATATATATGTCATGAGCTGATACCTATACAAAAAATCTTTATCAAATAGTGGCAATGGTTCAACGTTTGATATTAGCAGGGAAGGTCTGTTTGGAACCCCGGTTTCCTCTCGAGGGTTTCGGGTTGGGGCCCAGCTTCAGATTTACATTCCTCCTTCGATGATTGAGCAATCTAGTTCATGGCTGGGATAGGATTAAAATTTTTATATTTTTGTTCCTGATTGGGTTTAAGTACCAAAAAAACGCAAAAATATTGCCTAACTATGACAAAGTAATACAGGAACTTGCTTGCCCATGGATACCTTATCTCCAATATCCTGTCACCACGGAGTTTCACGATACAAGGGCCCGTACCGTAGGCACCCCACATGACACGCAAGAAGCCCTCAATCCTAAACCCGTATGAAATTGGGACCCGACTTACAAGAAAGCCGCACTTCACACCACAACAAGCAGGGGAACCAAGAAATGCCAGCACCAAATCTTAAAAACTCTTCGATGCAACCTTCTTGTTGTATGTAGCCTGATCCCCTGAACCCTTCAAACCCTGTAGGGTTCTCATTATGGATCTGATTATGAATGATTAACACGTTTCCATAATATAGAATATCAGACATGATGATATACATGATGATATATGCAGTGTACATACCATATACATATGAATATATATATATATATATGTATATATAAGAGAGAGAGAGAGAGAGAGAGAGAGAGAGAGAGAGAGAGAGAGAGAGAGAGAGAGAGAGAGAGAGAGAGAGAGAGAGAGAGAGAGAGAGAGAGAGATATATATATTATATATATATATATGGTCAGGCGTCTGGCGTTCCCAGTCCCCCCCCCCCCCCAATGGTATGGTCTGACAGGGGTGGGGGGGGGGGGGGGCCTGGCGTGTGCGGAAAGGGGTTGGGGGCCGTTGGAGCTGCCACTGGATGGTGGGGTGGTGCTGGCTGCCAGGGCTCACGCGCAAGCCCTTCGCAAGCAAGCCGTAAACCCTATGACGCAGCGCGTGCCCCTGTTTTGAGCAACCTTAACTTGTACTTAAAACGCTACACCCAACCCTAAACCCCACCTAACTGCAGGCTCTAAGCCTAAAGCAGAAAATACACCGCAAATCCTCCCTAAGCCCTTGTCGACTCGAAGCCTTATACCTTGTAGCCGTAAACCCAAAACTCAAAAGCTTAAGCTAAACCCTAAACCCCAAAACCCCACAACCACCCCAGAGGGGGAAGAGGAACCCCACACCCCACACCACAGGGGAGGGGGGGGCCCCACCCTATATCCGGACCATTGACCTTTGGGGGGGGAGGGGGGGGGGGGCTGCGGAGCGCGTGACCATATATATACACCCACCTGGAGCCCCAACTTGCGCGCCATGCGCTCGACGAGCTTTTTGGAGTCCTCTCGCTTCTCCTCCTGAGGACCCATAGGGCCAAAAGAGGTTTAGGGCTTTCGGGCTTCGCGGCTTTAGGGTTTTAGAGTCTGTAGAACTTTGTTTTAGGAAAGCAGGCAAATAGTGCTCTTCAGTCGATGTGGGCCGTGGGAGTTTCAGAAAATCGGGGACCCCATGGGATCCCTACATTCAAGGCGCCCTAAATTCGGTTCAACCCCTGTTGATTCGCGTCATGGTTTTAATAACGGACCTAAACATTTTGCAACAAAGTTGGCCTGGGGCGGCATGAAGAGGTTTCCGACGCCATAGCTGCCGGCTTCAGGCAAGGTAAAGGTGCAGCAGGTTCGGTAGTATTCGTCGGGGATAGAGATCATGATCCCCACGCCGTCGCCGTCATCCTCGTGCGCTTGCTTGGCGCCACGGTGCGTCATGCGAACCACCATGTCTCGGGCATCCGTGAGCGTCTTGCGGGAGGGTTTCTTGCCTGGGCTGGCCGTTTCAAGCCTCTGAGAAACATTCGCCAAAACGAGCCCCATGAAATGACAATTTCGGAATATCCCATTACCTACCTAGTTGCCCATGTCCATGACGGCACCAACTCCGCACGCATCCGACTCATATGTAGGGTCATAGAGACCCTGCCTCTGGGGTGTCTGGTCCCAATGCAACGCCATCTCCAACGGCAAGTTGCTACAGTCTCCGTGATCCGAAACAGCTGCAGCCACGCGTGTTGGATTCAGAGCTTCGGGCCAAGGGCCGGCCAACTTCTCTACCGTCAGGAGAGATTAGAATAATTACGGTTTTGGGGCCCGTTATACTCTCGTCATAATAAGGAACCCTCAAAACAGTATCGGTAATTAACTAAGGCCCCTATGTTAACACAACAAGCACACTGTCAGCAAAATCTGTCCGCATGCCCGGGAACATCTGCTGCGTCAACTCCGGGACCGTCAGGGCACGGTACTGCTGAGAGCCGCGGGAAGTCAGAGGAGCAAAGCCCGTCCTATACTGAACTTAGAACCCTAGCAAAAATATAATTGTAGCTGTTTCATAGGGATTATAATAACCAAAAAAGTAAAAAATATTTCTAAGTACTAAGCGTCATGAAGAAGTGCAGGCGAGGGAAGGGCACCAGGTTCACCGCAATCCTGGGCCCATGTCTGCTAGCAGCTCAAAAGCTCTGACTGTGGTTTTTGCCGCATCTTCTTCGATCCCGCAGAGCACGCGCTCGCAACTCGGACAAGACAGATGAGGTCGCACGGCTCGCAGTCGGACATCAGGAGATGCAAGGCATGCAAAATGTAGGAGGCACGAAGCAGCTAACTGTAGCAAGAAACATAGGACATAGGAAAGACGTTGCATGCTTCAGAATACCATTTCGATGTTGTGGCACTCTAGGGCTCTAGGGTTTGCGGTTTAGCATGACACCTTGAGAGCCCAGGGGCTTTCGCAGGTCGCAGTTCAGCTGCCCTGGGAAGCGCAGGCAGCAGGTCACACCGCTCATGGCGGCCGAGACCAAGTGGTTCAGGTCCCCGTAGGTAGGTGTCGTGAGCTTCAGAGTTCCTCGGTGTCATTTCTGGTTTAGGGTGTAGGGTCCTGCTATAGGAGGCTTGCTACAAGGGTTGCTCTCAGAGTAGCTGTACGGGTTACTGGCAGGGTAACTGAAAGGGATAAGAGTGGATCAGGGTTCCTACAAGAGGTATTAGCGGGGTCATGAGGTCCTTTGCCGAAACCTTTGCTCTCCCTCGGCAGCCTTGGCAAGCATTGCATGAATTCCTGAACTCTCCGTATGTCCGCATATCTTACACGAGATCTCGTTTTAAGCTGAATGCGGGGCAGCTTCTGAAGCAGATGTCGTACAAAGCCTCGTTGTCAAGCAGGAAGGACTCATCCGAGTTCTCCACAAGCTGATGGAAGCTCAACACTGCATTGTATGGCTCGACCACGGTATCCGACACTTTGGGCGAAGGGATCACTGAGAATGTTTCCATAATGCGATCAGGGTACCTCAGTGCTGCAGATCATGCGAAACAAAGCATCATGTTCAAGTCATATTTCGACTTCCAAAGCAATATTCGTCGCACATGCACAGTTCAACGCGATCACGAACAGCAATGACCCCGAAATCGACAGGCCGAGACGAGGAGCAGCCAGCAGCAGCAGCAGCAGCAGCAGCAGCCTCAGCAACAGCAGAAGCAGCAACAGCACCAGCAGCAGCGGCAGCCTCAGCAACAGCAGCAGGAGGAGCAGTTCAAGAAGCTGTAGAAGTGGCAGTAGCAGCAACAGAACGCAAAGTCGTGATCATATGTGATCAGAACGGCCATCTTCATCCAAATCGTTGCCACCATCCCGATGAACATTCTTGTCGGCGAGGTTGAAACTGCGACAAAACCACATCTTCATCATGCAGCCTAGTCATGTCATCGCGACAACCACCATCATTGGCGCCGTCCTCGACACCACGACGATCACCATTATCATCGTAATCATAAAGCCCGTCAGTTGAACCATCGTCAACTTTTTCATGCTGGTGCCTTCTGTCACCAACCCTCGGCTGCTTGGCTGCAGCGGCAACAGCTGACTGCCATCGCAAGTGCAACCCAGTGACTCCTCGCGCACCTTTGAGATCAGGAGTGTTCCCATGCCAGCGCCGGTGCCGCCACCAAGAGAGTGGCAGAGCTGAAAGCCCTGGAGGCAGTCGCAGCCTGCAGGAAAGGACGTATGCTTCGCATCGAGGTTTCTCACGTTGAGGCCGAATCTTGCTTCAAGAGGCCCTTTTATCTGAAGCTCAGCTCAGCAATGAAAAGGCGATGGTTGAAGGCTGCCTGAGAACCCTAGCATAGGGTTCCGTGAGGCAGCAATGATGTGGTCTCTGTGCTGGATCTCAGAACTCAACGCGACATATGACTTACGGTTGATGATATAAATCCCCAGAGTAAGGATCATACCATTATTCCCATAGTTTAGGGTCCTTAGGGTAATGCAGGGTTTATATCATCAACCGTATGGCTTCTTAAATAGTCTTGGAAGCATCTCAACTTACCTTTGGTTAGTAGGGAATAGAGGAATGGGGTACAATCAGAACTACTATTACTACCATCCTTCCCTTCCCTTCTAAACAAAGGTAACTTCAAAATATATAAGGTTCCTAATATAGAACCCTACTATAGATCCCTTTAAGGATCCCTTTAAAGGAACAGTCAAGGCATTGGGGATGGGAGCTGCCTTCCGCCTCCTTTCGCACAACGTCGAGCACCGAGTCAATGAGTTCCGCACCCTCAGCTTCCAGGAAGTCTACCCCGAAGCCCGAAATGCTCTAGACTCTAGCCCAGAGAGCCCAATACCCCTTAATTAAGGGATATACCTGAAACTATAAGGGGATTCATAATAGGATTTAAGCTACATTCCCTAATTCCCAGAGATCCCTTTCGGATGTAACTTTTGATCAGGAACAACTGAAGCTAAGCTCCGGGCTTCAGTGTAATGACCTCAGTTTCTGCCAAGCACGACAGACAGACCCTGACGCGCTGTGCTGCATCGCTTGCCAACGGGCGCCCGACCCTTGGCCCAGTTGTTGCCAGCTCCTGCCAACAGAACTGTAAAAGGGGGGACCCTTAATAAGGACCCCTAGGTATATGCCATTATATACCCATGATATATCCCATTATAGGGTAGGGGTCCCCATCGAGGGTCCCTCCTTTTCCCCTTTGAGCCAACAGAACTGTCATCGGATCGCACATGGCGCACCACACTATTCAATGAACTATGCTTCCTCCGGGTGTCTGAGGCCCTAAACCCTAGAACCCATAAACCCTTAACCCTAAACCCCTAAACCCTAAACCCCTAAAACCCCTAAAACCCCTAAACCCCTAAAACCCCTAAAACCATAAAACTGTCCTGTCTGCCCGAAGACGAAGTTGTCGGGACGGAAGAGCTGACCAAAAGGCCCGGCTCGGACGGAGTCCATGGTTCCTCGAGTCTGCTGTTTAAGGGTTTGGGGTTTGGGGTTTAGGGGTTCAGGGGTTCGGGCTTAGGGGGATTACAGTAGGTGTTTAGGGTTTAGCGTTGCGCAACGAGACATGAGAAGGGAAGACAGCTCAGCACAGAAGCGGCATAACCTGTAGCCCGAACCCGACTTCCTTCCCGCTTAGTGTAAGAACTGTAGGAACCCTAACGGAAGCTGTTGTAGTAACCCCCTTCAAGCCCGCACAATAGCCGTGAATCGTGAAAGGAACCAGCGACAGCTTTAGGAGAATCCCTGCAGCGTCCTTTATAATAGCATCTACAAGCTACAAACCCTTATAACAAGTCTTACAATGATCCCTTGCACTAGCCCCTTTGAAGCTCTGATACTTATTGCCTGATACTAAATGGGATCCGATTGTGGAACCCTGTAGCAGTACCCAGAGACTCCAATACCCTTAATTAAGGAATATACTTGAAATTATAGTAGGATCCCTAATATGGTTTACAGGAGTATTCCTTAGTTAAGGGATGTTGGAGCCCCTTTAAAGGAATTCTAACAAAGGCCCAAGGCTTCTTAATCAGGTTCCCACATTACCCTTATAGATCCCTTATACTACCCTTATAGTAACCCTTATAGACCCCTGTAAAGGAACCCTTGTAGAACCCTACTGTACCCTGTAGTACCCAGAGATCCCAATACCCCTTAATTAATATACCTTGAATTATAGAGGCCCTTATAATATGATTTAAGGTATATTCCTGAATTAAGGGGTATTGGGAACCCTGCTGTACCCTGTAACAGAGACCCAACATAGCCCGGCCTGGCTCAAGATCCATCAACACGGCACGAGGCACGTAGCGTCCACCCGTTGCCTCGTTGAAATAGACGTGTGTGAGTGAACTGCACGGTCTCGGGTTTAGGGTTTGGGGTTTATAGCTCCGTGCCTCGTTGAAATAGACGTTGATGCCTGGGAGAAGGGCTTTTTATTGTTTAGGGTTTTGGGGTTTGGGCTAGGGGCTTTCAAGGCACCTTCTTCTCCCCTCTCACAGGGCTCGGTTCAATGCCCACAAGCGGGAAAGGGTTTTTGGGTCAGGTTTCCGGGGTTTCGGCGAGGTTTGGGGTTTGGGGAGTTAAAGGGTTTTGGGATGTTTGGGGGTTTGTGGTTTACTCTAACCTGACAGGCTCAACACGTCGTGACTTGAGGTAAGACGAGCCTTTTCGAGACTCGCCCCGGGCGCGTACACATGAGATCCGCATCGGAAGCCCGAAGGAAGGCCCGGGTCGGCAAACAAAGGATTCAGGTTGATCGATTTAGGCGCCGAGAGCCCAATACCCCTTAATTACGGAATATAGCTTAAATCATAATATGAATCCCCTTGTAATTTAAGGTATATTCCTTAATTAAGGGGTATTGGGCTCTCTGGGGGGTTGAGGTGAGGATTAGGAAAACCCGTATGATCGTAAATGACAAATGGGCAAGGCAAGCACTTGGGTCCCAGCTTTAGCCTTAGCCGTCATAACAGTTCACGGCTGGTGGTGGTCGCCGCCGTCATCCAACCGACAGGGCGTGATAATAACCCTGAAGCCTGGCAAGTTGGAAGGAAGCTCGGCGTACCGCACGTATCTTCAAGCGGCGAAATACCGCCCGTCAGTTCCGGCTGGGTCTGCATAAACTTCGGCCCTGAGCCCCGCAGAACCCCATAAAACCCTGCCCGAATTTCGGTAAAGAGAAGCCACATACTCGTGAAGGCCCTTCAGCCTAAACCCAAACAGGAACTCTGAAAGCCCTCAAACCCAAAAAGCAACCCCAAAAAAGGTAACCCTTAAACCAACCCTCTACCCTGAACCCTAAAACCCTTTTTGCACAGACTTGTATGCCCTAAACCCTTTTTGCAGCAGGCCTCGTTGTCCAGCAGCCCGGTTACAGCAAAGAGCCCTCCCTCAACCCTAAATCTTGAACCCTTTGCAGCAAGCCTCGTTGTCCAGCAGCCCGGTTACAAATCTTGAACCCTTTTTTCAGCACTCCTAAACCCTAAACCCTAAACCCTAAACCGTTGCTGTCAAGCAAAATCCTGAGGTCCGAAGGGCGCTCCAGTTGGAGATCGGAGTCACCATGGTACGTTCCGGTTGGGTCAATGCCTGGGTTTAGGGCTGATAAGTAGGGGACCCTAATATGGTACCCTAAATAGTAGGATCCTTAATTATTCCAGGGTTTAGGGTTTAGCTCGGGTTTAGGGTTTGAGGGTTTAGGGTATAGGGTTTAGGGCTGGGTCTTGCAATTTTTCCCTCGGGTTTAGGGTTTTAGGGTTGGGGTTCGTAGAGGTTGGGTCAATGCCTGGGTTTTGTCATGAGGGTTGAGGGTTTGGGGTCTAGGGTTAGGGTTTGTAAAGCTTGTTCGGCTTCTGGTTTGCCCTAAACCCTGAACCCCTAAACCCTAAACCCTTTAGCGCATTTAAACGTAGGGCTTCTTGGAATTGTGGTTTCGAACGTGGGCGTTTTTGGGCAGGCTTAGGGCTTAAAGGGTTTGGCATGTTCGGGCCTTTCGGGTTCCCTAAGGACTCGCCTAAAAAGGGCCCTCAGGAATTTCGTGGGGGCATTGTCAGTTTTCATGATGCTTTTAGTGGAATTGTTTTAGTGGCTTAACATGACACGGATTTTGGGGCATTCTTGGGTTTAGGAATGTCGAGCTTCTGAATTTCAGGTTCAGGCTTCCGTTCTTAGGCTTCAGGATTTCATGCTCAGAGTCTGGTGCGACATTTAAAGATTTAAGGGGGAGGGACGACAAGAGTCTGCCTAGGGTTCTGGGGCTTGGGGCATGGGGTATAGGTTGCCAGACAAGTGCCAAGAAAAGCAACAGATGCACCGCTCCCCTGAACAATAGCCCTAGACCCACGATTGAAACTCCTATGCACATCTTCCAGACCCAGTTGCCGTGCTCATCGGCGATGACTTCCCAAAACTTGGCTCCGATCTGGTTTCCGCACCTGGTCTGAAAAAGCCGGACACAGGGAGAGAGAGAGAGAGAGAGAGAGAGAAAGAGAGAAAGAGAGAGAGAGAGAGAAAGAGAGAAAGAGAGAAAGAGAGAAAGAGAGAGAGAGAGAGAGGAGACAAACAAACGGATGCACGCTGAAAAGCGATTACAGACTAAGCCTGACCATAAGCCCTCCTCCGATCCGACTGAAGTTATTGTTTCATGGGCGCTGCTGCAGCTTCCTGAACCCTCAAGCCATCCAGCGAAAAGTCGGGTGCCCTCAGAGAAAGCCATGGAACTGGCCGCCCTGGACGTGCACGAGCTCACGCATGGCTGCAGGGATCTGACCTCGAAGCTTCGCAAGCGGCTTTGGTTAATTAGGGACTAGGGCTTTGGGTTTAGGGCTTTGGGTTTAGGGTTTTTTTTGCCTCAGGGTTCAGGGTTTAGGATGCAGAGTCGCAAACTTCCACGACGCTTGCTCACGCTCTCAGGTGCGCCGGGTTCGGCACGCTAGTGCTGGAGATGCGGGCTGCAAATGCTTAGGCTTCGGGCTTACGGAAGACTCACGCTAAGGTTTTACCATTCAGCGTGCAAGACCGATGGCTCGACGGTAGATGCCACTGTTCATGACGGCCCCTCAAGCCAAGCGCCTTTCACAACTGCCTTGACCTCTTTTAGCTCAACTTAGTAATACTTGGTAAAAGATGTGGAAAAAGTTGATGGAGTCAACAAGGTCACATCAGACTGGTACCTACCCCTGCAGCTCACACCAAAAAAGTTGACAAGGAATTCTCAAACCCACAGAACAGCCTCATACCTCTTACTCACGCAGTATGCCTCATATTAAGGATCCCTTAAGCCAGGTCTCCTACAGTATTTACTGAGCAAGCTGGCCTAGGCCCTTCAATGCAGACCCAAGCGGCAAAGACGGCTGAGAAAACGCGAAGTCTGCTTTGAGGCACGCAGGCTGCGGATCGAATCTCATCGTGGTTTAGGGCTTCGAAAACTATGGGTTTCGGGTCAAGGTTGGGGTTTAACGCAAAATTTAAGCACCTCAATAATCAGAATAGTTTTTGGGGGCCCAGTATACTATAATTATAATAAGGAAACCCCCAGGAGTATCGGTAACTATTGAAGCCTCTATAGTAAGGGTCTCGAAGTTTGGACTCTCGCAATTCGGAGGAGTTTAGGGATTTGGGGGCCCCCCAGACTCCCTTGAATTAACCAACGCTCGAAGATGACGGTTTAGGTTTTTTTTTTTTGAACGGCCCTTTTTCGACTCGCAAGGATCCCGAGAAGCGGAGTTCCGCTGGGCAGGGTTTCGGCGCTAGGGTTTAGGGCGTCCGAGGGGTCTGAATATTTACTAGGATGCCCAGTAACCTAGGGACTAAAAGGGCTCCCGTTTTGGTATTGGGTACCTTTATAAGGAACCTGGGCATCCTAGTTTAATAATCACATCATCTAACCCCCTTATAAACCCTATAGTGATTCTGCAACTATACAAGTAGCCGAACTAGCCCAACCATTGACCCTGTCCTTTTCCTAAACTGGGCTCTTGTTAAGGAGTTGAATATAAATCGGGATCTATAGTGAAAATAATATGGTTTATTCATTGTTACTCAGTAGATCATTATCACTAGTCACTAGACTCAGAAGCCCCGTCGAGAACCCACTGGTTACGGTTTAGGGTTTAGGGCTTGGGGTGTAAGATTTTGGTTGAGGCTTTAGGGTTTCTACCTTGGGCCTTAGGGCCTTAGGTGAGCAGCAAAACCCTCGCCAGAAACCCTGCTTCGCATCCAACCTGCAAAGATCTCTAGACATCGCCCCAACATCCCCACAAAACTTGTAACCCTCAAAATCCAGGAGCCCTTGACTAATGGGTATTCTGCACTCTTTTCTCTTAACCCGAGTTGGTGGCTGTGCAGAAATACATGTGCCTTGTTAGTATTACCAACTACGCAGACATCGGCATTACTCCGGAGAATTTCCCTTAATTAAGGAATATTCTCTAAATCATATTAGGGATCCTACTATAAATTACGGCATATTCCTTAAATACCGGAGTTTGGAGCCTCTGGGACTAACCCCTAAAATCACTCGCGCTGGCTTGCTGGTGGGAGCAGAGTCTCTCCAAGATGTCCCTGAGGCGCGGATCGTTGAAGTCCAGGAAAGAGATCCTCAAAATGAGAAGGGACGGGTTTGGGGTTTAGGGCTTTTTCCCTCCTACTTAAGGGTTCAGGGTTTAGGGTAAAGTGTTTGGGCTGGCTTGTTGTTTTGACAGGGCGGGGTGGGGGAGCGGGGCTAGGGTTGAGAGCGCTGTCGGTGCTTCCTTGGTGGTGGTGTTTAAGGGGCTGGAAGAATGTTGCAAAACTGCGTATGCTTTATGTAAAGGGGCTTGCTTGCAGTGCTGGTACCGGGTGGCTTAAAATTTGACGCGTGCTGCAATGTTGAGGTTTTGAGGGCCATTGCGACTCCACGGTAAAACCAGGTTGTCGTCTTGGTTCAGGGCGTGCGCGCGGGCTGCCTGATGCTCTGACGCATAACCCTACTATGGGGGCCTTGGGGCCCGTGATACTATAATTATGATAAGGAACGCCCAAAATAGTATTAGTAATTCTTTAGGCCCCCAGAAAAGGACCCTTCAGACCGCAAGGGCTCCGCCGAACCGCACGTCGCGTCTCAGCAGAGGGGCCAGTCTGCCACAGCCCAATCGGAGATCGGCATGTCTTGTAGAAGCCGGAGGACCTAAGCTTTGGGAATCAGGGCTTGTAGAGTTTAGGGTTTAGGGCGGGGGAGGTCAAGATGATTGTGGGTCGTAGACTGGCTAGACTTGAGTCCAGTGGCAAAAAAAAGGGGTGGGTGGGGGGGGCGGGTTAGGGTTAGTATATAAAGCTTTTCCTGTAACATGTGTAGAGTCTAACAGTGTAGAGCGTTATGGGTTTATGGTTCATTGAAGGAAGGTTTAGGGTTTAGGCCTTTGTGTTTCCGCAATGCAGGGCGCACCGGACTTGCAGATGGCTGAGGGCTGCTGCAGGGAATCGGGCCGCCCCTGACATCCTAAACCAGTCATTTGCAAACCAGAAAAACTCCCTATAACCCCGCGAAAGCTTCACTGGCCCAAAACCCAAGGAAATACAAGTTGAAACTTTCAGAATCGACTACCTTATTAGAACCCCAAAAGTTGAAAAGTTGAGTTTACAGCCAATCAGAAGATTCCAGCAAGACCTGAAATCTGCTTTGAAGGAAAGCACTTGGCTCCCGACAGGGGTCAGAACACCCTCGGGCTCCTGCGACGTGGGTTTAGGGTTTTAGGGTTTAGGGAGTAGAGGGTTGAGGGTTTAGGGTTTTAGGGCTTCGGGTTCGGGCTTAGGCGTTGATGGAGATTCGGGACAAAGAAAGTTTCAGTTCCAAGGATTTCCAGGGGCAAGGGGGCAGAGATGACTCACGCCCAGGGCGCTGGGTCCAGTCATGCTGGAAGCCTTCCCCTTCCCAGATACGGTTTGAATAAAGCACCTTTTTGTGTTTGCACCCAACGTCTACAGAGAACACATCCAGGGTTTCGGATTTAAGTTATAGGGTCCAGAGCATGTGTAGACATGCGCAGTCTGACGGTTCGGGAGGAAGGGGCAGAGCGCCCTGTCCTACGCCAAACTGCAAAGACGCTGGCCTATTGCCCATCGTTGCCCCAGTGCGCGAAGCAAACCATTACATGGGAGTTTCCGAAAATAGTGGACCCCAATGTAGTACCCTATATAGTAGGATCCTTACTACAAAGACCCCAAATAAGGTACCCCTAATATTCGAAAACAGCCACGGACCACATCCGAAAACTGAACGGATTTTGTTGCGGGCTGTGCAGGCGGTGCCCAGAAAGCCCCTTAAGCTCCCCGGGTTCGGGCTTGATGAAAGAGCTGATGCGATTGAATGGGCTTGGGAGTAGCAAAGACCCTCAAAGCTGCAATCGCGGAGTTGCTCCGGGTTTGGCTGTGTTTGGAGATGAGTTGCAGCGGAAGTTGCGAGGGTGATGGGCTTGTGGTCATGAACGCTGAGGTTGTCTCAAACTCGACGAAACTCCCTAAAGTCCAGTCCGGAAACTCGACAACTGTAAGCATCCGTCGGCAAAAGCCTCAAAGCAAACAGCCCTTTCCGAAAATTAGGGGTACCTTATTTTGGGGTCCTTATAATAAGGATCCTACTATTTAGGGTACTACAGTACCTATAGTCTCCATTGTCGTTCCTTTTTTTGGTTGACCCAAATCTCCATTATAGGATCCTAACCATAAAACTGGTTAACCAAAAAAGGAACTACAATGGAGACTATAGGTACTGTAGTACCCTAAATAGTAGGATCCTTATTATAAGGACCCCAAAATCCTATAATGGAGATTTGGGTTAACCAAAAAAAGGAACTACAATGGAGACTATAGGTAGGGTTCTAAACCCTACCCTAAACCCTAACCCCTAAAGCCCTAAACCCCTAAACCCTGAGCCCCTAAACCCCTAAACCCTGAGCCCCTAAACCCCTAAACCCCTAAACCCTAAGCCCCTAAATCCCTAAACCCCCATCTTCGGAAGCCCCAGCCCTGAAGGCCCTAGAAGCTGTGAGAAAGCCTGGCAGCTGCAGCTACCAGCCACTCCGTGCTTCACCTGGGACCCCAGAGACTCCAATATCCCTTAATTAAGGAATATACCTTAAAGGAGTCCTTTAAGGGATCTATAAGGGTTCCATGAGGGAACCAAGGAATATACCTTACATCATATTAGGGATCCTACTATAATTTAAGGTATATTCCTTAATTAAGGGATATTGGAGTCTCTGGGACTGACATTATGGAGCTACGGTTGATGATATAAATCCTGCAGTACCTTCAGGACCCTAAACTATGGGAATTATGGTATATTCCTGATTATGGGTAATGCAGGATTTATATCATCAACCGTAGTACCAGGCAGGCAACATGTAGTCAGGCTGCACAACGTCTCGCGCGCATGCCGGCTACCTTGTCCTAGACCACAGCACAAGCCCATATGGGAGTTTCCGAAAACAGGGGGCCCTACTGTAGCACCCTAAATAGTAGGATCCTTATTATGAGCACCCCAAAATAAGGTACCCCTAATTTTCGGAAACTCCCATATCGTGCCAAGGGCCAAGGCTTCACGAGAATGAGTATCGACAAGGCTCAACCAATCAGCACTGAGTTTCGATAGGGTTTAGGGTTTGGGGTTTAGGGATTTAGGGGTTTAGGGGTTTAGGGATTTAGGGATTTAGGGGTTTAGGGGTTTAGGGATTTAGGGATTTAGGGGTTTAGGGGTTTAGGGATTTAGGGATTTAGGGGTTTGGGGTTTAGGGTTCGGGCACTGGTCCATCCACAGGAGGTTCTCAGGTGCAAGACTGCTTGCGTGTCGCCGAAGTCCCGAAAAGTAAGCCGTCAATCCTAACGATTAACCTCAACAGGGTTTTGGGGGGGGTTCTTTATTATCGTTTTAGTATATTGCACCCCCAAACCCTATTCTAATTATTGAGGCACCTCTTTGAAACCGGACTTGATGACTGCCAGCTCTGCCTCTTCCGCGGCTCTTCAGCCGAGGCCCGAAAACCGCAACACCGCAGCAATCCACTCCGAAGGGTAAGCACTCCAAGTAACTGCCACCGAATGTCGATGCCACACCTCCCTGACCACATGAGCACACAATCCTGAACATCCGGATGCACCAGAACATCAATGTTAAAGACCTGCTTTGCCGTGAGACAAAGGCACCTACATTACTAATGTTTCTGTTATCAGCAAGCTTTCTTTTTGACATTATAATCAAATTTGGTATACATCATATACATATATTTAGGTTCATCATCTAATGTAACGCATGCCCGGCACCTCGCCCCAGCGGCGGAAGGTCGCCAAGGCGCGTGCGAAGGCGATGTGGAGGGGCCTATGGTCCGGATATCGCAGGGCTCAGAGCTTTGGGGGATTCAAGGAGCTACCGTTGAAGTTTGAGGAATGAGTTGGGGAATCAAGGAGCTACTTTGAGGGACGAATTGGGGATTCAAGGAGCTACCGTTGAGGTTTGAGGGATGAACCCTCAAGGGTTTGGAGGCTTATTTGTTGGGCTTAAAGTTGTTCGACTCTCAAGGTGTAGGGTTAAGCTGTTCAGGGTTTACCTTAACCCTGAATAACCTACCGCTTTAAGGACTTATGTAAGGATATCACGATAAGGATTCCTAAAATCAAGGTTTAAGGGTGTAGGGTGTGGAACCTTGGGTTCTTGGGCTGGCTACATCTTCCAATCAGCTGTTGCTGTGGCGTCTTGCAGTCCTTTCCCAGAAAGCGCAGGCGCCGATGCACACGAGAAGTGCAACGGCGTGTCTATGCGCCAGATTCAACAACACAGATCCCGCCCGAAGACTGTATCAAGTTCCTTTAAGTCAAAGATGTCTTGGCTCGGTGCCATGCTACAAACTACTGCTGTGCCAGTACTTTGGTTTCTAGTTCTTACAAAAATTGGTTGCCAATACTGCTGTAGTTGTTGGTAATGCTGTTTGATCCTCCTCCTGCTCCTCCTCCTCCTACTACTACCACCGGGGCAGCTTTTCGCCATGGAAGATGCCTATGCCGGGCTTACCGCAAAACTAAAGCACATGGCCGCCCGCTGCAAGTCCCGAACCCTACTTGGAGGGTCGGGGGACTTAGTAACTGGCTATTTAAGGGCCTTATAAGTACCATAACCCCAATTAGGGTCCCTTTTGGGATACTTTTTGAGTCTACTTACTACCTACTTACTAAGTCCCCCGACCCTCCAAGTACGGGCTCAGCCCGTGAGACCTCCCACCTTGAGCCCAAAAGCACAAGCATGCCCGGACCCTAAGCAGTATTATAGGGGCCTTATAAATCAGAACAGGGTTCCGTTAAGAGGCGTCCTTTAAGGGCTACTATGAGGGATCGATAAGGGTACTATAATATCCTAAACTCTAACCCCCAGTGCCCTAAGACCAGCAGCCAAGAGGTGTGGAGCGGAGCACGGAAAGTCCTGCACAAGAGACCGCTGGGACTACAGATCTGACCGCGGAGTGAACCGGACCCCATTTTACTCAGATTCTACGATAGGGGAGTACTACAATTAGAATAAGGAACCCCCAAAATAGTATAGGTACTTATTAAGCCCCCTATCCTAAACCCTCAACCCGATATTATAGATCCCTTACAGCAGCCCCTTAAGGACCCCTTCAACAGTAGTATATGTCCAAGCGTAAAAGGAGGGACCCTTAATAAGGACCCATAGGTATATACCCTTAATATAGCTATTATATACCCATTATATAGCCCATTATAGGGTAGGAGTCCCCATTAAGGGTCCCTCCTTTTCCCCTTTGAATATGTAAGTCTTAAAGTCCCCTATCCTTATAAGTCCTATGTTAGGGTTTATAATAAGAACCTACAAAAAGTAGGGTTTGATCGGTTAAGGTAATATATGTAAGTCTTAAGGTCCCCTATCCTCGTTCTTTCGTTCTCTCTCTCTCTCTCTATCTCTCTCTCGGCTCTTTCTCAGACGACCGGAGTCCTCGAGAGCAGGTGCGCAAAGAAGGCCATGATGTCGTGGGCGGCCGTGTGTTCAAGGTCGTAGGACCTGGGGGGCTTAGGGTTAGAGTTTAGGGGTTTAGGGTTTAAGGCTTCAGGTTGAGGGTTTTAGGGGTTTTGGGTTTACGGGGGACCTCAACCCGTAGTTATAGCTTAAACCCAGTCGCTGGATGTTGCCAAATCCTGAATACTGTCCCCCTGATTAGGAAACCTTGGGCCTTGATTGATTAGGGTTCCTGACAGTTTTCTTAATCAGGTTCCTACATTACCGCCCACCCCCGCCCCGGCTGGGATTTCAAGCTTAGCCCTTCTCGGGTTCAAGGCTTCAGTAACCTCGCAGCTTCGAAGAGCCCCACCGTGCAGCTAAGAATCGAAAAGATAAAGAAAAAAACAGGTGCAGTGCAATCCCTATTATGGATCCGTAGAGTACCCTTTCAAGACATCCTCAAGGGCGCGAACAAACTCTTGCGGTTGGAGTGGCGGGGTGGGGTCCGCCAGCGCATAGGTCAGGTCGGCAGAAGCACCTTGGAACCCAAGCTGCTTGACCAGGTTTTTTCCCACCCGCCCAGCTGACAGGTTTAGGGTTTAGGGGTTTAGGGTTGACGGCATAGGGTTTAGGGTTTAGGGGTTTAGGGTTAAGTTTAGGGGTTTAGAGTCTAGGGATTTTGGAGTCTGCTGTACAAGGAAGTCATGTCACTTAGTTGTTGAGCCTCAAATGCTGAACTGGGAAGCCCTAGAAACACTCAGGGGCTCAAAAGCTCCTAGCAGGAAGCTTCTCTACAAGCCTGGGTGGGAGGGACTGAAGCCGTCCACAATTCCATGCTTTTAGTACGTGCCCCTGTGTTCTTGGAGCGTTTCAAATCAAACGTACAGCGTCTTAAGAAAATGCATTGAAACAAACATGCGCCTACCATCGCCATGCAGAACAAAATGAGGTAGTTTGTGGTTTGCAGGCTCAGCGCCTGAAAGTAACTTCTCAAACGACCATAGAGTGGGGTGGCGGACATGCAGCCCCAAACCCAGCCAATCTACTGCTGCTGTTCAATCAACCAGAGGTGCATGCCGGGATTTCGGAATGTAGGCATGATGAGCACTCTGGCCTTTGCCTTTCTGGCTATTATGGATCCCAGGTGGTGAGAATACGACCAGAAATTGATTAGGACAAGGTTTTTTGTTTGAGCGCCTTTTTCCATCTGCCAGTGCAGCTGCAGCTAAACGGACAAGGGTTTAGGGTTTAGGGTTCGCCATGAAAGTGAGATATCATATGCAACCATGGATGAGCTTGCCATGAACAGCAGCCGTGCAGACAAGCCTGTACATACCTAGCATGGAAGCACCACTCCATCCTAAACACCGAACACCAAAGCCAACGGCCACAAACCCTAAACCGAAAACCCTAAACCCTAAACCCAGCTGCAGTAACGCAAAGCTCCAACGCAGTTGCAAAAACTCGAGGCTCTTGCGTCCGTTCCCCGGGGTCTTGGATGGTCTTCATAGCGACCACACAATAAGGGAGTTTCCGAAAATTAGGCGTACAATATATTGTCCTACTGTTTAGGGTACTATTTTAGGGTCCCCTATTTTCGGAAACTCCCATAAGGAAGACGGGCACGATCGTGATGGCCGCCACCGCAGTTAAGCATTTGGGAATACAGAGCTTAAAACCAACTCATTGCTGTTTGAGCACGTATGCGAGTCACATTTCAGTGTCGAAACGCCAAAGCCCTAAACCCTTACAGCACATTAGGGTTTTGAGAAGCGGCAAGGTCTAGTTTTGCCAGCCCAGGGGCGCAGGAGCACCGCGAAGAGGAAGACAGAGAAGCAGCCACGATCACCTCTCCACCCCAGAGGCTGTGGATAACTAGGGTTTCAGCGCTGGCGCTGGGAGATGCCAGGCGAGGTTCTTGGTTCGCAGTCGCTTGGAAGTTCGGATTGTGTGTCTGATGCGGAGGGTGGGGGTTGAAGGTTTGGGGTGGGGCCCTGAACTCCAATGCAAGTTGAAGGGCTTCCAAAGCACCGCAAAACCCCAGACCTTAACGGATACAAAGTTCTGGCAAACAAAAATGACTAAAGCCAAACCCTACACCCTAAATCCTGCTAGGCTGAAAAAAACGTTCACTAAGTGCGGATTGAATGGACCAGAAGCGCTCACCTCTCTCTGTGTTTCCCAAAACCGGTGTGACAGACACAGGTTGCCAACCGAAGCAGTAAAAAAACGAAAAGACTGTATCCCAGAACTAGTTCATGATTGGGATAGTTTTACAAGATATTAATATTCGTTCCTTTTTGTTTTTTAAATACCCATGAACATATAAAATGTTACTCAACTATGACAAAGGAAGGCGTTTCCACAGGGTTTAGGGCCATCCGTAACGAGCTAGAACCTGAACACGACCCTAAACTCTAAACCCTAAACCACGAACTCAAAAGCCCGACCTGTAAAAACCCGCGACGAACTCAGACTAAGCAAACCGGCTGAAAGGTTTAGGATCTCGGAATCAATCCTCTCCTTGACCCAAAACGGCTCAAGGTTTAGGGTTTAGGGTAAAACCCACCATCCTACACCCCTCTGGAGTTGAACCAGGAGGACTTGGATGTATGAAGCTCAACCCCGGAAGCCTCCAACCCGAAACCCCTTTTTTGAACCCGAAACCCCTATACCCCCAAATCCCTAAACCCCTCAAGCCGGGGTTTCCCTGAAAACCCCCTACTTGTCGGGTATCATGGGGAACTAAAGGTTAACCTTTTTTGTTATCTCGGGACTATATAGGGACTATACTACCCAAAAAGAGGTTAAAGGCTGCCTACTCTACTACTAGGCCCGAGAGCCCTAAACCCCCAAAGCCCTGCGATGGCGGCCTTGCGCCTCTCCCCGTCCACGCATGAGCGCGTTGCCTCGGCGTGCGAGGCTCCGGGCCGGAAGCATCATGGTCTTACGGGTTGTAGGGTTTAGGGTTTTTGGGTTTTTGGGTTTTAGAGTTTCAGTGCTTTGGGGCTGTAGGGGTTTAGGGCTTTAGGGCTTTAGGATTTCAGGTTTTCGACTAGTTTCTTTCGGGCTCAGGGCCCAGGGTTTAGGGTTGATGGTCTAAGGTTCTCAACGATCTACAGGCTTACCTTAACCCTGAACATCCTGCCTTTTTTCTGGGCGTTATGGAAATCATACTCCGGAACCCTAAACAGGAAGGTTCCTCGGGATCCAGGTACAACAACTTCAGCAAAGCCGCGGAGAAGCAGCGCAGTATCACCTTTGGGGGCCAGCGACTTTTTGGAGACACTTCGGAAGATTGAATCACATAAATAACTTCATTCCATTACGCCCATCGATGACAGCATGTGTCAACCCGCAAACTGCATCTTGAGACTTGAGGCTGATGTAATAATGTACTAGTCGTCATAAACAAGACGAGCCACGCGTCGTGCGATGGACGTTGCCGCCTTCCCTGCCAGGAGCACTGCCCGTGGCAAACCCTGGACACCCGAGATACCACCGATGCTAACTTCCCTGAATCATAAGGACCTTTGGGGGGAGGGGGGTAGGGGGCCTTAATAGCTCCAAAAAGGACTTGATAAGGGTCTAACAAGGCCTTTTCAAGGAAGTAAACCCCCTTTCGTACTTATACCCCCTAAGCCCTAAGCATCTCCGCAATTGTAGTTCGAACCCTCCATGCTAGCCCTTAGCTTCGTCGCCCGAAGCAGTAAACAGCTCGAGGCCTGCTCCAATGCATGAACGGCTCGTAGACTTGCTCGCGCCATTCGCCTCAGCTTCGCATGGTTGAAGCTGTACTATAGGGGCCTTAATAATTAGAACAGGGTTTTGGGGCTCATTACACTATAGTAACAGTAAGGAAGCCCCAAAATAATATTGGTAATTATGTAGGCCCCTATACTACTTGCAGGCTCTGCCGCCAGCAAAACAGTTTGAAGCTACAGTTACGGCAGCTGACGCGTACACGCCAACCCAGCCCGCGGAATAGTGATGGGAGGCCAAAAGGGGGGTTTAAGATTCTTGGGGTAGGGATTCCTTAGTATGAACCCTAATATGGGAACCTTAATCCGCACTAAACCCCCATAGGCTAAAACCCCTTTTGGCCTCCTATGAAAAACTGTCGCGAGGAACACCGTCTCGCACGCAGCCTCGATCTGCCGAACTGGACACACCGGGACTGCTCTGTAGTGGCTAGCGCATGCCGAACGACACGCAACAGGGAAAACAACGAAGCATGGGAATCATCCGAGGGCATCTGCCACACTCCCTTCACAGGCTCTGCCCACACAAGGCGCAAAGCGGCCTCGTGCCACAACAAGCTCAGCAGTCAAGGAACATGCGGTTGAACGAAAAGCTGCGATTTCCGAGCTCTGGCGAAACTTGAGATGGAAGTGTTGCTGAGACGAAGACAAAATTGCAGACTCTTTCGACCCACATGACGTCATGACCGGCTGGAGCATACATCCTGGCACACCGTTCCGGGTTATGGCGTAAGCTGTGGCAACTCTGGCAATCAAAGTTCGCGCCTTCCTGCGGCCGTCCTTGAGGCTGTGGGCGATGCTGCACGTGAGGATGTGCGTCAGACGGCTGCTGCTTCTGCGCGGAAGTCTGCGGCGCTGCTAGTGCACGTGAAACCACCACTCCAAGTTTCAGATGCTGCGTATCATAATTGAAGCCCAAATGACTGGACCGAGGTTAGCTTTCCTTTGCAAAGCTAATTATTTACCAATTCGTTTGCAGGCGGCCAATGCGGCTCAAAAAGCCCCGTTTCAGACACAACATCAGCGAACATGACCGAGACGGCCCCTCATCTCACCCTATGTAGATTACCCTATCGAGCTCACGCAAAACCGCACCCACTTCAGGAACGGCTCAAACTTGCGTTGTCCCGCACTGTTCTGCTGCGGCGATGCGCTCCGCCGACATTTAAACACACCTGTAGCCGGTTGACGATCTGACAGTCGCCTGAGCGATGTTCGGAGCTCTCTGGAACGAAGATTCTGAGCCGAGAAATGCTGAGAAGTGGGTCGATGAGAACCCTCCCATGAAGCTAAGTACAAGGTGCTGCATTTAGCAGCACGTTAACTTCACCATCGCGCCGGCATGCAGATCCGGCACGTTCTGAACTTGGGCTAGCCTGGGCATGGCCATCTTGAGTGTTTGCGCGGCTTCTTGCGCAGCCATCCGGCTGGTTGTCAGAAGCTCGAATAAGACAACGACAAGGAGAATGCTCCAGTGGAGGGCACTGGAAGCCGACACGGATGGAAGGCTTGGGACACGGCGCGCACGAGTGCCGAGATTCACTTCGGACGCAGTCAGAACCAAACCCCCTTTCTGCTAAACCGTCAAAACCTTAAGCCCGAACCCGGATCTTCTTAGGTCGTTTTTCCCTAGGCCTTCTCAAAACCTCATCATCAAACCGGAACCTGACATCACTCCCCTCAAACCCATGTTGAGGGTTCAGAAAATCAAGAGGCCTACATCATCAACAACTATGTGGAACAATTGCAAGAAGGCGGAGGTTTCATTGCGCGTGCACACAAGAAAAATTGAAACACCCACCCTAGTTTAAACCTTTTGTGCGCAGACTTGTATATGCCCGCCTGGCTGTAAACCCTTAACCCTATAACTGGGTTGTAGTTTTGGGGCTCTGAATAGGTACCTCTATAGAAAGACCATACTGGGAATTTAGAAAGCTTCCCAAATTGCCACCTAGGTAAGGGTCGGAGCCATGTGGCTGGCAGGCAGCCGATTTTGATCGAAGACTAAGAGCCTCCAAAGCAACGCGACGGAGAGCTTCGAGCTCACGGGCCTAAGGTTTGTATGAAGATCCCTTAAAGGGTTCCTTTTAGGAGATGCTACAAGGGTACTATAAGGGGTTTAGGGATATAGGGGCCATACTTAGAGGCCCACTGGACGTAGGAAGTCGATTATAAGTAGGGTTATAAGTGGGGTAACTCCATTCAGGGTACTTCTAACTCTACTTATAACCTACTTACTCAGTCCCTTGGGCCTCGAAGTAGGGGCACAGGCGTTTCGCGTTCGAGGGTTCAGGTTATCGGGGAATCAGGCTTCAGGGCTTTAGGCTGCGAAGGCCCCTCTATTACGGTTTAGGGCTTATAGGGACTAAAGATCTTGCTCTCTGTAGCGGGATTCACAACCTCGCAATCTGGTTCATCCTCTTCGGAATGGCGCCAGGGACTAGGGTGTGGGTTTTTTGGGGCACCTGGTCTCAACGTGCAGGGCTCAGGGCGTAGGGCGCTAGTAGGACCCCATCTGGCAGCTCTCTCGGAAGAGCAAATTCAACGGAACATCGGCACGTTCAGGGTCATGAGTGGCATAACCGAAGGGCTTTAGGGTGTAGGTTCTGAGTTATTCTGGGTTTCCGTGGCTTTTTGAGTGCTTAACTTGGTAGGATTTCTATAAGGGCTGTGAAATCGAATCAGCCGGAACCGTGGAGTCTGAATAAGCCTGAAGCCCACAACGACTGGAGATGCCCTGACTGAACTCTGAAACTGCCTGGAACCCTACGCCAACTCCCTATAGCTGTCCTGGGGCTTCAAGCCCTTTTGCAGGCTTCTCTCTGTGAAGCCCCAAACCCCCAACCGACACCCCAAAGCAGAAACAGAAGCACCCTCAACCCTAAGCCCGAAACCCTAAACCCTAACACAGCAGCCATGCTGCCCACAGCGCTCGCCGCGCTGCGCATCGAAGTCTGCCGCCGGAGAACGCAGCAGACCTGTGTCGGGTTCGGGTTGCACGCTCGCAGGCTCGCATGGCTTCGGACTGTCTGAGCTTGTTTACACTAACATACCAACTGCAACGAGGATAACAACACCATAACCACAAATCCAAGGATTTCGGATGTAGGGACGAAGATTTCGGGTACGGATCAGGAGCCCTCTTCCAAGCCAGGTTTCGAGCATCCCCAAAACAAACCCCAGATTGTCACGTTATATTTACAAGACCATAGCTGGCACCTGCAAACTGCAGAAAAAACTGGGCTCTAAGTTGCTCACTGGAAAAAACCCAAGGAAATAAAAGTTGAAACTTTCAGAGTCGACCACCTTATAAGAACCCCAAAAGTTGAAAAGTTGAGTTTACAGCCAATAAGGAGTTACTATTCCGAAGCTTGCAACTTGGAAACAAAGGTCGGGTGGCTAACATGTTTTAAGCACGGCCTTGCATTGTATGCCGGCAGCGAAGCTCTAGGGCAGAGCCTCCCTCAGTCACCTTAGGAGACCTCCTTAACTACCCTTTTTTGCAGCAGGCCTCGTTGTCCAGCAGCCCGGTTACAGCAAGACCCCCCCCCCCTAAACCCTAAACCCTAAACCCTACAAGCCCTAAACGGTTTATCGGGTTTCGGCGCTCACTGCCTGCTCCTAGCAGCGCCAGAAGAGATCGGGGCATGGCGGGAAGCCATGCTCGGGCTCGCACCGGGCATCGCCAAGGTCGGAGCAGAGGAGGTCGGGTTTGGGGGCTTAGGGCTCAGAGAGGGCAACTGCCACGGCGGGTTGTAGGAGGTCTTAGGGTTTAGGGTTTAGGGCTTAGGGTTTAGGGCTTAGGGTTTAGGGTTTAGGGCTTAGGGTTTAGGGCTTAGGGTTTAGGGTTTAGGGCTTAGGAGGGTTTGGGCTGAAGGCCGTGGGTAGAGAGAATCGGGGCTTTTGCCTCTTCGGGCTTAGGTTTGGAAGCTAAGTCTTGGCTACCGGATCAGATGGAAGGATGGTGGCCGCTGCCAGCCAGTGCACTGCCCTGCATAGTTCCCAAACCTCGGACTGTGCTGTACTGCTGTACTCGGCGGCACAGTGTTTTCGAAAGGAGCGGCCTCGAACAGAAGTTTTCTGAACCTCAACCCGAAACCTGACACTCCAAAACCTACAGCACCATGCGGCTTGCGGGGTTTTGATATGGCTGCCGGCGTACAGGTTGAGCATTCCGGATGTCGGGCTTCGGGTTTGAGGGTTTCGGGTTGAGGGCTTCGAATTGAAGGGTGCTCGGTTGAGGGTTTCGGGTTGAGGGTTCAGGGGCTGGTGTAGGTGTTTAGTTTTAAGGTTAGGGCTCATATGCAGCCGCAGGGGCCAATGCGACAAAAGCATGCAGTGCCCCAGAGAAAATGGCTTATGGTAAAAGCCAGAAAGTTGGAATATTATAAATCCTAACCCTTCTATGGTAAATTATAGGGTATCCTACCATGAAACCATATTCCAACTTTCTGGAGTTTCCTATACCTGTCCCGGTCCCTGCAATACTCCGCCCGCGGCCCCACATCCGAACTCTGATAGAGCTTAGAAGGGGCCCCCACCCTGTAATAGTGACCATAAGGATTATATAGGATTATATTAGGGCCCTATTATTTTCCTATTATACCACTATTACAGGGTGGGGGCAGCTTCTAAGATAGAGCCGTCGACAGCCCTCACAGTTAGAATAGGGCATTTGTGTTTTTTCGAGTATGCTTATTCAGTAAGGCACCCTTTACTAAGGAAAAAGCATTCATATTTATTCCGAACCCTATGTAAATCCGTTTCGATGGTAGGCCGACATCCAAAACCACAAACTTACAGGATAACGAACTTGGGAGCACCAAAAGCAAAAGCCCCCAACCCCAAAATTCCGTAAATCTCGACAGCCCCTCAACCGAAGCACAGGATCAGTTTATTGAGTTTCGAAGCCAAGATGCCCAAAAAGACCCAAGTCCTGGATCCTTCTGTTTGACCCTAAAATCCAATTATTTGCATCAAAACCCTAGATCCTAACTCTCTTAATCATAGACTCCTAAAACTCGATCCGATATCTCGCCCCCTGCCTTTGCCTTTGCCCTTGCCTTTGCGTCGGCCTGGCAGAACTTGTGGATTTTCCGGGGCCCCAGTTGGAGGCTTGGGAAGATTTCGGGTTTACGGTGTCTAGGGTTTACGGATTTCGAAATCAGGGTGCTGGAGTTTGGGGTAAAGGTTTTTCGGAACCTGCACAAAGTTAGGACACTAGTCCTTTCTCCTGTTGCGGAGGGTGCCCATAGCTGTCACAACCGCAGCTCGTTTGGTGACTTCCTTCTTCCCGACACGACATTTGAGCAACATGTCGGGAACGTTCTGTTTCGGCACGTGGTGTTGACACAACTCTCAAACTGGACTTTGAAGTAACCAGGGAGAAAAAAGTATAGACTTTTATTTCATAATGGTTCCTTATAGGAACAGGTACCAAAAAAAAGCATTCAAGTATGGAAATCCAGAACCCAGCAAACCAAGTCAAGCCTACTTCTGGCCCCTCCAAAACCGTCGAAGCAGCCCACTCCCGATTCAGAGGTGCCCTTCCCTCCAAGGGGAAAAGGAGGGACCCTCAATAAGGACCCCTAGGTATATACCCTTAATTTAGCTAGTATATAGCCCATTATAGGGTAGGGGTCCCCATTAAGGGCCCCTCCTTTTCCCCTTTGATGTTAAGGCTCAGTCCCAACCCCCCCCTAGACCTGAAAAGTAAAACCTAAAAGTTTTCCAACGAAAACACCATAAACTTCATACCTTTTTTGTCTTCAGCCCACCCTACGAAACCCTAAAATCTAACCCCCAAACACTAAACCCTACTAAACCCCAAACTGGTGCCCTCAAACCAGGGAAGGCTGCTAAAGTCCCTGAGTCTCGGACTACTCTCGGAGCACATGGGAGATTCCGCAAATAGGGGACCCTAATTTTGAAGGGGCCCCCACCCTGTAATAGTGGTATGATAGGAATATAGTAAGGGCCTTATATAATGCTGATAGTCACTATTACAGGGTGGGGACAGCTTCTAAACCCTAATATAATACCTTAAATAGTAGGATCCTTATTTTCAGGACTCCAAAATAAGGTACCCCCTAATTTTCGGAAACCCCCACATGGGCTGGGGTTTGCGGATTCAAGCGTTTAGGGCTTATAAGGCCTGGGGTCGACTCTCACTCCCGCACGTATTGCTTACCTTTGGTTAGTAGGGAATGGGGTCTATAAGGGTTACTATAAGGGATCTATAAGGGTACTATAATATAGGGGCCTTAATAGTCCTATAACTTACCTTTGGTTAGTAGGAAATGGAAGAATGGGATAGAATTATAACTACTATTACTACCATTCTTCCATTCCCTACTAACCAAAAGTAAGATTGGTGATGATTGAGGCACCTCTAGTAGATGCCTCACCCAGAAGCCGATACTGCAGGACCCCCAGCAGGCAAGAACGACCCCAGAGAGAAATTTCGAACACACTTCAGGGATTATGGCTTAGCGTATTTGACGAAACCAGACTTTGAGGGGTAAGGGAGTAAGAATCCCGAGACATTATCAGAAGACTCTGCACCACCTGGGTGAAAACGGTTCAGTGCTTCGGGTGAAGGGTTTAAGGCTAAGGATCTCGAAGAAGCACCGTTTTGCCCCCATTTCGACCTAGTCCCCGCAGTTTTTCCCCAAACCCTACCAAACCCTAAAGGCCTAAACCCTAACCAAACCCAAACCCCTAAAACCCAACCTAAACCCAAACCCCGAACACCCCAAACCCTAAAACCCCAAAGGCCACCGTCACGGCCACGCCAACGGCCGCCACCGCGGTTGTCCGACCATTTATCCTGGCCTCCTCGAGTTTCGCTTCTCTTGCGGTTGAGGCTCTTAGGGTTTAGGGTTTCGAGTGCAGGGTTTAGGGTTTAGGATTTAGAGTGGGGTTTAGGGCTTAGGATTTAGGGTGTAGAGTAGGGTTTCGGGTTTGGGGCTTAGGTTTTCGGGTGCACGGCTTAGCGCTTTTCAGTGGTTTGGACTCTCGCAACTCGGACTCTGCAGGCGAGGATGGGAGTTCCGATATTTGACTTGAGAGCCTCCTGAACAGGGTTTACGCTCTCACAACTCGGACACAGCCAGGCGAGGTTCTTAGGTGCGGAGTCGGTTGTTCAGGGTTTAGGGTTTTATGGTTTAGGGTTTATGCGTTAGGAAAGAGGCGCATAGAGGAAGGGCCAGGAAACTCAAAGTTTGCGCTCAGTGCATGTAGGGGAGCATGCCTTTGCCGGCCTATGCAGGTCTTGACAGGCCTAAACTCCTTGCATGCGCTCGTAAGTCGTCAGGCGACACTACAAACGTAGAATCAAAACAGCATCTGTCCCTCATCTAAACTTGAACCCCACTCCCCATGCCCTTAGATCTCATCGGCACAACTTCAAACTCCATCACGCGAAAACCGAAATCGTTAGACTATGGCTTTCAGGTTTCGCTGCCCTTGAAGCATATACTCTAGGGGCCTTTATAGTAACCCAAAACCCTTCGTCTCCCTTACTGAGAGCACCGAAGCTGCGATATAATGTAGGGGTCTTGTTTCAGTAGAACAGGGCTTCGGAGCCCATGATATCATAATTGTAATAAGAACCCCCAAAATAGTATTGGTAATCACTTAACCCCCTATATTATGTATCGAATTGTGGGCGAGGGGTTTTGAGTTTTTGGATTTAGGGTCCAATGATTTCGGTCTAGGGTTTCGGGGCGGGTGATTTTGCGTCAAGATTCAGACCGCCGAAACCCCAAAGCCCTAACCTAAACTCTGAACTCCAAACCCTCCGACGGGTCCGACCTTGGCCAGGATCCTCGAAAGCTTGGAGCTTGAGACGAGGCAGGGCTGGAGGAGTGTAAGGTCTTGAGCAGTCGTTCGCTTGGAGTCGGTATGAATGCTCTTCCTTAGGGTCCCTTGATTTAGACCAACCATACTGTAGCACTCCCCCTAAACGCTAAACCCT